TGCCCACCTGTGGGCGCAAGAATGTTTACTTTCGTACGGATGAGCGATCTCGACATCTGCTCAACTCTGAGCCGAGAAGCGACATGGATTACAGACTACGTCAGAGGTCAGATGATAGAAAACTATCTCAAAATGGTTCGATTTGCAACGCAGTGATGACAATTTAAATTTGGCATTCCCGAAATAAGAGTGTAACTGCATGACACGCTAACAAGCCTACGAGATTCTTAAAGCCAAAATTAATTATTTTAAATAGGTATTTATCTTTTAATGAGTAAACACAATATGGGCAAATACCAAATAATCAGTTATTTTTAAGCGATCTACATAACCAGACTTATGTTTATCAAGAAAATTGTGAACATGTCTCGAGTTTGCGGGAATACAGCGAGGATGTTGAGCGGCGGCTCTGGCCGGGCATCGTCTGTCAGCAGCCAGGCTGTCGGCTAGCGGTCAGCGCAGGTATTCCTGCGGTCGCGACACGACGTTACAACAACGCCTCCAGATAACTTTTCCTCAGGGTTTGTTTTGCCTAGAGAGTAGTAAAACCTGCATAAATTTTAGCACGCACAGATTCTAGGACCGAGTGTCAATAATTCTACTGCAATTTTTTGAGGCGACGAATCCAGGAAAATGTAATCGATGAGTAACGTATCACGCTCAATTCGCGTAAACACAGTTCATCAAGTAAAACGGATCTATAAAAAAGAAACGCATACATCGACTGAAATGCGGGAATTAAATGGATCGATCCATCACCGGCATGTTCATAATAATATTACACTTATCGAACTCGAACTAAAAAAATTAGTTTTCGACTTTTTAACCCTCTGAACATTTTCTGTAGTAATTTTATTTCTGTAGTAATTTTTATCTTGGACCACCACAATTTTCGAAATTCAATAACATGCAATTTTTCACTCTCAAATCGGAGCTCTTAACACATTGACTACGAAGGGGTACATATGCGTACCTACCACGAAATGTATTTCTTCAGGACGTAGTGGTACATAATTAAGGGTTGCCGGACAAATCCGAGAACAAAAAAGGCCGATAACTCAATATATACTAGTTTATTTCTAGGTTCCGCTATAAAAATTCCAGTTATTTTCTTTTTGCAGTATTTAAACTTTAATTAGGAAGTATCCCTATCATAAATTTTAGCCGGCCAACGCAATTGAGAAAAACTAAATCACGGACTTTGTCCGGAAAAAATGACCGTCTGGCAACCCTGTTTAAAAACAGTACAAAAAGTGAAATAATAGTACAAGATGAAGCAATCGTAGTCAAAGTGTTAATCGTGAAAGTTTAACTTTCAGTTCTGTCACACACCCGTCTAGCAGCTTAAGCATCACGTATATACATTTGTTATTATCAGTCCAAACTTATGAGGTAATGTTTCGGTATTTACGCAAATACACTCGGAGGTGTGGTCGCGTCTGGGCAGATGGCCAGCTCAGGAAGGAGTTTGTTTGGAAGGCACAATGCAGACCCGCTGGTCATAACAAACATGAACCCTTGGCGCCATGCACTTTTCTATTAAAAGATCTGCTAAATCTTGTGAGTGATGCACGTATATGGAATACATCGTATAATGGTGGCACCTCAACGCGAAAAATTAGCGCATGCTGATCGATAAACCAACAACACGTACACTATTGAGTGAGGTTCAACGGATTCTCGTATTCTATTTGCTATGCACCGTTTACTTTTTAACTTTACAAAGTGAACTTTACAGCTTATCAGTATATTGAAAATAACAGCATCTCAGCTATAAAAATATGAAATCAGGTTCAAACACTGCGTTGTCACTGCATATCGGAATTCTGAGCACCATTTCATTCCGAATTCAGGGGCATTATAAAATTGTATTAAGGTGTGATGACAGTGATGCTCGCTAATATTGCTGGATTAAAGGTCGCGGCCTTTTTATAGCCAGTTTGTTGATGGGTATGACTGGAAACGAGAGGCGCATATAATGGGTCACAGGGAAATAAGTGCCCCAGGGCGCGGTATAGGCCCAAGGCTCTCAAAACCGGTCAGTCGATCGGCGAGTGAGTGCGCAGGCGCACGAAAGAGATTGAGTGGTTAGCGAGAGATGGAAGTTTGCCTTAAAAGGATTCATCGTTCGGAACGCTTATGGCCTCCATGAAGCACTCATAGTTATCGTCATCACGAAATGATGGTGAATTGTAAAATTATGATATTGACAACCTTGAATGAGGGACGAGAAGCGAATACGCTGCGTCGATGATGAATCAGTCAACTATAGTCATGCTAAAACGGAGATGGCGAAACAAACAAGTGCTGTTGACTTATATATTCACGTGTCTCTTTAATTTGATGATAGCATAATTTTAAAATGAAGTTACCAACCACTAAATCATCGAAAAAGTAACGATATTCGTACGTTACACAGAAAAAAAAAACACACTCAAGATAACGTGTTTCATCAAGCAGTAGCGTCCTTGTCAACTGCTGATTTTCCATGAATGCACCTGAAAGTATTATCCTTTTATCCGTAGTTATGTAAACCGCAACAAAATATCAACCTAATTTTCAGTGTTCAGATCCTATGGCCCTCATGAAGTGCCAAAGGGAATTAAATCTTAACTGGATGACCGACAAATTAACTCCACACTCCATCACTCCCGAGCTGTTCAAACGAATGGCAAATCCTGGACTCGTAAATCCTTTCCAACGATAACGCGGCGACGGCCGGCGAAGAAAACCTAATTGAGATTATCGTACAGGTTACCGCCCACCTCGAGGCTTCCTCGAAACTTAGCCGGCTTCTTTGCAGCTAATGACGAATAAGAACATTCATTAGAAGAAACAATAAACGTTAAGCAGTACATTTACGGTATTTCATCACTAACTCTCCACCGTTGCTTTTCAACGCGGTTAGGCATGCACATTGAATACACGCACAATACCAATTCAGATGGAAAATTTCGGTTTTCGATGTCACATCAAGAGAAGATCACGAAAAATGTTTACGATCAAGCGGCTGATGCACAAGTAACAATGAAATAATCGACAGTACATAAATCGAAATTGAAAAACTCACCATCCTAATGACGAAATTGATTTAGTCTACAGCCTGTGTATACACCATGCACGATAAGTAAACGTGAGGATTTTTTCACTCAAAATATTTTGAAATTCAGGGTGGCCCAGTGGTTACAGTTCAGAGTATCAGGATTAGAGCAGAGGTGCGGGTTCGATCCAAGCTCTGGGGGTCGGTTTCTGGCCAGAATCGGCAAGGAGGCCGGGCTGATAAGCACAGCAGAATTAGAGCAGTGAGTTGCGAGTTCGAGACCGCAACAAGCTGTGAATGTTCTGCTATGTTAAGAATCGGCGACAGGCTTATGGCGTAATAAACGTTGAAACCGCTATCATCAAATAAAGTAAGCGAACGAAGAAGAATGCAGTCATAAGTTGGACGCCACCACAAACAGGCCGGTCGGCAGAAGTGTTTACAAAATATACTGTAAAATTAGACGTTGAAGCCTACCCCGCTCCGATGTTGATTTGACTTCCGTGGTATTTTGGCTGCACGTGAACACAGCAATAATAGGTTAACAGGTGAATGCTTTCCATGTACGCATCAATTTTTTATTACAACACTTCTTTTTAACTTCACTTTTTGTTGTTTGTCTGTCTGTCTGCTACAAATCTTATAATCGATTTTTAACACACTTCTACCTCTCCAATCGATTTCAAATTTTGCACACTTGTGTGAAGTTGGAGACAATGCATGACTCAAACAACGAAATAAATAATTTTATATATTAATTTTTTTAATATTAACAAATTGAAAAAATAATTTTGTCAGCTACATATATTATAACTGATATTTAACACACTTCAACCTGTCCAATTGATCGAAATTTCGCACACTTGTGTGAAGTCGGAGGCAATGCATGAATCAATTGATAGAATAAATAATTTTTAAAACCATTTTTATATATTTAAAAAAAATTGAAAAATTAATTTTTTTAATATTCGAAAATAAAATTAGAAATTCATTGTGCATCTCTAACATTGGAGGCACTATATTTTTTAGAAGTGTTGTCTTTAAAAAGTAATTTTTAAACGTATATTATTACTTTAGAATTAAATAACGCCGTGAGCACAGGCTTTTTCATGGTAAAACCTAACTTGTTTTCATCTATTGCGGCCGAGGTCAGAGGTAACACCCGTAATATGGGAGTCTAGGTGGATATTATTGTAGTATATATACGACCGTGCTAACCCTAACGGAGGGTAACATAGCATATTTTCATGTCTATCTTCATCAATTTCCATTTCAAACCAGTCCAGACTGAGCAGCAATGTTGCCCTTAGTCAAACTGAGCCTCGCCTTTAGCAAATAATAGCCAAATATGTGTTGGATGAACGGCATGGCAGGCGGTTTCAATCGTGCAGGCTAAATGCGATTAGTGCACGAATAGACGTGGAATTAAAGTTACTAATTCAAATGCAAGTTAAATTTTGTATTTCATCTATGTTGTGGGAAAATGGAGGAATAACATGTTGATTATAAGCACAGTTAAGCATTTAAAAGGCTTTCACCAACGATGAATACAGCGAATACAGTATACTCTGTAGCCGTAGGTATAGTGCTCTGGTCATGGACGAAGAGTCTCGGACGAAATATTTGGTAAAACATCTTAGAAGAGTATATACTAATATAGTCATGATTGTTAGTAGAAAGAACGTCGAGCGTTTGAAATGATACGTCACACGAACATTTAGTTATTTGGGTTCATGCGACCACAATCGATTATGTGAAAAAATGTTTGCGATTCTTCAACAGAAAAAAATAGAAGTTATTTAACGACGGAACGAACATTCTGTTTATTTTAGTTTCAGAACTCAAAGCAAGCACAATCATCAATGCGCTTCCGAAACAATGATCTCAAATTAAAACCCATAATTTATAATATACTAGTCGAAGCTGCCAACCCACTAGCTATCAGTTATTGTCTCCTTACCTGTTCGAACTTTGGCGCTTGACAATGTAATGAAGCTCAAAATCACGAGCACAAACAGAGCCATCAGCCCAGAGCGCCTCCTGCCCCGCCCTCCACACACTTTGTCCATCGTCCTGGACATTTCTCATTAAAACTGAGACCACAGGAATTCATTCACTCCTTGGTATTTTTTGGTAAACAGTTCTTAATACAGACGATAGTTCTTCATGACTTTTTTTGCAAAAGTTGAAGAACACAGGAACAACGATGAATATCAGATGAAGAGAGACTAGTTTTGTCACTGCATTAAACCTGTAAGAATCCGCGGCAAGAACAATTCTGGAGCACACCTGGCACAGTCACCGACTGGAGAGCGTTGGCACAAACTCCTCACTTCTTTACTCCCAAGCCAAGACTGGCGGTGAACTTCTCGAAGAAAACTAAATGCCGAGCAGTGACGGCAACAGTACGCAGAGGCAGCGATGTAGTCGATAATGATGTATCTCATGGAGGATGCATCATGCCAGCTATTAATTGTGAAATATTTTTATTATTAAAACCTCTTTCATTTATTTGTTTTGAGAGTTTTTACGTCAAATTAATTACACATATACTGTGATTCATCTTGGTCATTTTCAATCAATCCAGATTTCATGGATGTGTTGTTATTCTGTGAGATATCGTTTTTGAACGTTTTAAAAATCTTATGTCAAACGAACATTAGACTGACATTCATTCTCCACGTCGAATTTTAATCAAAATAAAGCCAATAGTTTAGAGTTTCAGGAATTGAAACTCTTGATTGTTGTCTGCGGGTGAGCACATTTATTCGAAAATTCAGCTTATTCTGGATGACCCGCGTCAGTTGCTTGTGCGCGGTCTTGGTGTGTGGTTGCGAGCGAGCTATCTGTGAGATAGTCATGTGAATAATAATAAAAATGATGAATAAATTTGGTTCTGAAGTAATAAATTTGCCTTAGATTGATTCTATACAGTATTATGTGACTGAAAATAAATCGATCGTCGCTTGTATCTATTTATGAAAATTTTAACAGTCGTGAAATGAATAAGAAAGGCGTAGAGCAAATGTACTTTACGTAATTAAGCAGTAGTCTTTCAAATTTTTATTTTAAAATATGCTGTTTCGAATAGAATTTATGTGTCTCGTCCGTCAGGAATATCATTACAGATAAAAATAAGCGATATTGTTACTGCAATCTCCAAATGTAGATACCTACATATGTAGCAAGAGCCTAGAGGTAAACAAATATTGATAATTAAGGTAGAATTTTTACCATAAACTGCATCAAGACTAAAACGTGTGACATCATCCTTTGCCGCCATGTATGATAAACAGCCGCTTCTTTTGACCATATTTGTGTCTGTCACAATAATTCATTTAATATGCATAAATGCGAGCAAACCTGTATCGATTAATTACACGTTTGTGCGCATTTAATACAAGGGATATGCGGCAGGATATCCCGGCAGGTGTTTATATAGTAATTTCAAATCTAAATTGTTCATAACTGCACCGGATCAAACTGCAGGTGCACAGGTGTTCAATGCTAGTAGCTGCACCTGTGCCACACGTGCTATCTGAACAGGTCAGTGTGCGCCTCTGCGGCAGCATTAGATTCTTACACAAACTATAAAGTGGAAAACGTAAATAATTTGCTGGCTCTTTTGGGATCACTAAGGCTGTGTATACAACGTTCGTTCTATAAAGTGAAATCATATGAGTATAATAACTTGATAATCTCAGAACGCGAGAACATGTCAAATTCTCTTTTTTTGGTAAAAGGAAAAACGAGGTCAGAATGATTGTGATGCGTCAAGCAACTTTGTGTGGCACATGATTTGATTCAATCAAGACAAGCCCAAGGCTACGCATTGAATGTGCCTAGAACAATGCTGGGTAACGGAGTTGTCAGAAGAGTTACATCTATAATGCTTAAACAAAAGATCGCTTCGGTTTGTTGTTCTGTTATTCTTTCCAAAGACAATCACCATTTGAACGTGACTCGGATTTTTTCCAACTTGTTTTTGTCCAAAAATCTCCTTTTTTTTCCAGAGGAAATGGATTTTCAAATATTTTGCGTACGCAAAATATTTGCGCTAAAATATTTTTTGCGTACGAGACGCAAAAAAAAAATTGCTTCGCTTGTTAAAGAATCGCGTTTCGTGGAGACGAAGGAGGCTCGGTGCTTAATTTTATGCCAGTCATGGTTTTATTATTAATCATGATTACGTATTTCTTGAGGTCGGGAGAGGACTCGTAGCGTTGATTCACCTAGGATACAAGCAGCACGGCTGCTGAATAGCCTTTAAAATGTCTATTTTTCCATCATTTAGTGCACTAAGTAAATACGTCCAAACATTAACGAATATATCCTTCTCCTCGCATCATCGTGGCATTTAATTTGGCTATGGGAATTATTCTTTTTCCAGTTTTGACATCACTCTAAGATTCAACCATCAATTATTCGGTATTGCTCGGGGTTCAACATTTGACAAGATCCTTACCGCGAGAATACATTTCATTTTGCATACATCATTTGATTAGAACAGCTTCACAAACTCGACTCTTCTGCGTACACATGAAGTGAAGAAAAATTTTAATGCTGCACCTGTGGCGTGTGATTGAATGCATGTATGCTGCATGCCGTGTGTTTAAATGCATGTATGCTGCATGCCGCGTGTTTAAATGCATATATGTATACTGCATGCCGCGTGTTTGAATGCATATATGCTGCATGCCGTGTGTTTAATTGCATTTATGTTGCATGCCTTGTATTAATGTATGGATGATGCATTCTTTCAGCGCTTGAAATAGCATATGCTATACACAAAGCAATTCCATTAATAACGATTGATAATTTGTATCAAGTTAGCATGATTTAATTCAGAACAATATTTTTAGAAATAACGTTCATTATGGTTTTGCACATGATGTTTGCGAACAGAAGTGGGCATACAATCAACAAACTTCCTTCAAATATGATTTTTTGCCAAGTAGAAGCCCACGTTTTCTCATCTTGCAAACTGGCACACAATATCCTATTTAACCGAATTATTTTTCTTGAGCTGAATAAAGACACCTTCAATGTTTTATAGAAGTCGCGTAAATATTTTTCACGTAGGCCATGACATGGCATAGTTAACCAGCATCACAACGGCCGGTCCTCATCTCTGACACCTGCACATAATGCGGACGTCTGTGATCATCGCTCCTGAAAACCACAGGCTTGTTTGTTATGAAATTTTTCGTGTGTAGTGAAGAATGAATGCGACTGGCGCACAGTAGCTCAGTATTTTGAGTTAATGTTTGTCATGTTCTGCACCGTATTTGTCGAACTCGGAACTTAATTTTAGACTTGACATTATTCCTTGACGCATAAATAAAGGCAACTTTTTCCAGTTAATTTTGGACTTTGCAATGGATATTAAAATGCTCAGGTTAGAACGAGATTTGCCATCAGCAGATAACGATTAGACCCAAGAGTTTTTTTTTATCGCAAATTACGATTCAATATGAACCTTTATTTGTCGAGTAGTTATATTTCGTGGCCTGAGAACCTTCCATGATGGTCGACATCGTGCAGCTCGAACGAATATCTTCAAGTGCGCATGGGAATTACGCCAATATAAAGTATTTGACTGATAACGAACTGTGTAGATAGTTGTTTTGAGACTGATATCTCAGACTGATAAATAATCTCGTTCAGCAAACACTACAGCAGCACTATATAATGCCATGAGGTGAGATACTGTCTTCAGTTTCGTCCTCCACTTGGTGCAGCAACTAACCAGAACAATGCAGACCAGGAACGTGATGATAGCCGTGGTGAGTCTTGATTAATTTTGTGTTGTGAGGTACATGCTATTATTTGATTATTTTTCGTTATATGTCTTAAATTTTGCACTAATTTGATTCTAACAATGATGAGTTTTTATCCGCAATTATATGTTATATATGGTTTTATTGCGAAACTGGCTAAGCAAAAAAAAACATAATTCTTGATAAATACTTTCTACGATTTAAAATATGAAAGTCAGAAAAAAAAGTTCCGCCGGTTCTCAACTGCTGAAAATCATTCCAAGTGCGGGATCACTACAAGAAATCGTTCTTCAACTAGGTGACGGACCAATACATCATAAGCATGTCTAATAATATAATCAGCTAAATTGTAAATTTGTTCAGATTCAGCCAGCGTTTACTTAAACTAGTATCGGTGCGTGTAGTGTAAAATTTTTGAACAGATTAAGAAGCATTAATTTATTCCGATTCAGTGACGAAATCCACTGGAACCTGTAATTGGACGGGCGAAGTAAAGGCCCGCAAAGCTTCTACGGAGCAAGAGAAGGGATTATGACACATTCTTCCTTGCTATTCTGGCCGCGGCGTCTACACTAAATAGGAATGTCTCCAGCTGAGAAAATGTCAACGTGTTAATTAAGTTAAACGAAAAAAATGAGTGTACTTGGCATTGGCCTGAAAAATGCTAAGTCAATGAAATGAGCTGCGCTGAAATGGGACGAATTATAGCAGAAACCTCAACTAATAATTTGATTATTTAAGTTTAGAGAAAAAAATGCATAAGTTAAGCCCGATTACAATATGAGGGCGAATCGGAGCAATCGCTCACCATACGTTTTTTTTAGTAAATTATTGAAAATTTTAAACATCTTTCGCATTTATATAAGCTTAACTTTAAAATTCGATGGAAACAGTTTTAAAGGCAGGAATCTGATTGTTCAAGTCAACATTAAACTGGAAGCGTGAACGTTTGAACTTTGCGAAAGGCGACTATATATTGTCTCAAGGTGTCCGTGTCGACTCCGTAATGCAATGAGTGCGGCGAATATTTCGGACAGTATACATGCGGCGAATATTTCGGAGTACAGTAAATGTAGCTGATTCATGGTCATTTATCAAATACATGGTTAGGTCTGCATTTGATGCCTGTGTACGTAAGATTAAGCTCGGTGGAGTGAAATGGTCTCAGTGGACGAACAGTACAATTATAGTTAAGCTGAAAACCAATAATGAAAAGTACAAGCGTTATTTACGAGCTCCCTACTATTTTGATAATAACCTGTAAGCAAAAACGTGAAATCTAGCTAAAAAAAATTTGTCGCACCGTTGTGTAAAACGTTGGAAAAAATATTACCGAATATGCAAAAAAGGAACCCGAAAGCCTTCTTTCTGTATGCTAGTTCTAAGTGTAAGATAAACGACGATACTTATGATCTGAAAGGAGATCAACGAAAGATATCCTCTAATGAGGACAAGGCTATCGTTCTTAATCAGTACTCTAGCAGCGCGTTCACTGATGAGGACTTGAACATTATTTCAGCTATTGAGGAGCGCCCAGTCGGCTCGAAGTTGGCAGGTTTTGAAACGCACAAAGAAGAGGTTCTCAAGCGCCTGGTCGGTCTGAATCCTAAACAAGTCATGTGGACCAGACAGCTTCCACCCTAGATTGGTCAAAGAATTAGCAACCATCCTGGCCAGCAATTTGACAGTTTTATTTCAAAAAACCTTGAACTAAGGAACTTTGCCGGCCGATTAGATAAGAATCTTAAGTGAAGCGACACCATTGTTCATAAAATGTGATAAGAGTTGCTCCGGTAACTATCGCCCTCTTAGTCTCACAAGAGTGCAATGGAATCTGTTGTGAGATATTGGATTATCGATCACTTGACTGTTAACTGTTAATCATTTATCAGGCTGTCAACATAGCTTTATTGTCGGTAGATCCTGCACCACTCTAGTCTATGTTGAACGATTGGACTCGCCTGCTGAACGACTGGGAGCCAGTGGTTGCAGTGTTCCTCAATTTTGCCAAGGCATTTGACAATGTTCCGCACGAGCAGCTGTTGCGCAAAGTGAAGTATTTGGGAATAAAGTGAAAAATACTCCATTGGATCAGAGATTTTCTAGTACGTAGTCAACTACGTGCCAGCCTTCACGGAACCGTATCAGACTGGGCAACCGCGCGCAGTGGCGTGTCACAATGATTGTTCATGGCCTGTTTCATTCCTTGCTTTTATAAACGATCTGCCAGAAGTAGTGCCAGAAAAGCGTGTGCTCTAATGTATGCCGAATATACAGAAGTTTATAATATAGTTGAGAATGCGTCCAATAAAGTGCAATTGCAAGACGATATTGATAGTTTAGTTAACTGGGCTGATAGGTGACAGCTGCGTTTTAATGCTGACAAGTGTAAAGTACTTCACCTCGGGAAGAACAATGAACAGCTAGATTACAGTATGAGATGACATGGTTGCAACGAGAGAGCAATGATTGAAAAGTCTAGCGAGGAAAAGGATTTGGGAGGTTATATCGACATGGACCTGAAACCTTCTGGGAATATTGAAACGCAAGGTAATAAATCCAACAAACTTCTTGGGCTGATCAGACGCTCTTATGAGTTTCTATAGATGAGAAGCGAAGAAGCAGTTGTTTGTCGCTTGGTCGCCGAAACTTGAAAAGGACAGCAATTTATAGAGTGTGCAACGACGTGCAACAAGGATAATTCCAGGCTTGAAGGGCAAGTCTTACGAAGAAAGATTAAAGATTATGAAGCTTCCAAGCCTCTTATCGACTTCTGCGTGGCGACCTTATTGAAGTATACAAGTAAACTCATGGTTTATACACGGTCCCAGGATTACTAGAATTTGAAACAAGAATCAACACCAGGGGCCACGGCTATAAACTAGAAGAACTGCGTTGCAACTTCTCCACGCGACAACACTTCTCGCTTCGAGTGACCGACATGTGGAACAGGAACAGCCTGCCTGATGACAGCGTTGACGCTCCGAGTGTGAACGCGTTCAAGACCAAACAATATAAAGCTATGGAAAAATATTTTTTCAGATTTGAAATGCCTAGCCCCATAGTGAACCTATTAAAAGTCTAGTAGCTATTTCTAACTATCATCTGTTTAAAAGATCCCGTCAAATGACCTGTTTTTAGATCTCCTGTGAACAAGTCACGGAAAGTACAAGAATCGGCGACAGGACACATGAAGCCTATTCTTCAGCGCCGACATCACTTTAATATGATATGAGGAAGTAGTGTTATGCTAGTCATGCTATAACAAATAAATTGCTTCTGAATTGGAACTGTAGCCTCGCTTTATAAAAAATTATGATCATGGGAAAGTTGACTCAATTCATTCAAGTTCACCAGTGAGCAATCAAGCTATTGCCTGTAAAAATTGCGAATGTCAATACGGCATCCAAAACTCAGAATTGACAGTATGCCTGATTATTATCAGAAGCAATTAACTAAGTAAAAGCGTATCAAATTATCTCGCTTCCCTCTTGGATGCACTATGGGTTAATCTAATTCGTGCTAACTGCTAACCCTTTGCAACCCTGAAACGAACTGACTTCCGTGTTCCGTTCCGAGTCCGACTGCCGGCGCATGCTGCTATGGGTTCCAATGCTATTGTTGGCCTCTTTGACCAACAATACTGACAATACTGGGGCTGGCATTCGCAAATTCAATGATTGACTCTAAGAACCCATTACTGCATAAAATACGACTCAACAAAGACTTAAAATATTATTTCCGAATTAGTAGTCTCGTATAATAATCTACTACAGACTCTACAGTGCTTTCGTCTCTGCTATAGTGATCAACAAATAATAAGGTTCGTTAGTGATCGTTTAAGGTAACTTAGTTATTTGGTCAATGCCTTATGTTATCTTTGATAAGCATGAGAGCTCTGCCAATTGGGGCAATTTCCCATAGCACGAGTCCCAGAATGCACGAGTTTTGGAGGTCGTATACTTCCTTTCACGAGGCCGCAATATCCAAAACAGTGGTATGCACTCCAAAAATTTACTCCTTATCTTTATATACTACAATTAATTTCCATACATTTACTTTTGAATATAATTCACTTCTCCTGTACTACAGCTAGGGGTGGGTTGTTGCGTGCTGCTGATCACAACCATCGTCGTGACGACGACCAAGTCAGAACAGGAGCTGAGGTCGTGTCCTGCAGACTACGTCACGCAGCCCCCCGTGATCCTCGTCTCCCTGGACGGGTTCCGAGCGAGCTACAGAGAACGTGGCCTCACCCCCGTCATCAGTAGGCTGGCCCAAGAGGGGGTCTTCGCCCCCTACATGAACCCCTCATACCCCACCGTCACCTTCCCCAACCACTACACCATCGTTACAGTGAGATGACATCACCATAAGCCCTACCTGTTACGGTGAGATGATATCACCATAAGCCCTACCTGTTACAGTGAGATGATATCACCATAAGCCCTACCTGTTACAGTGAGATGATATCACCATAAGTCCTACCTGTTACAGTGAGATGATATCACCATAAGCCCTACCTGTTACAGTGAGATGTTATCACCATAAGCCCTACCTGTTACAGTGAGATGATATCACCATAAGCCCAACCTGTTACAGTGAGATGTTATCACAATAAGCCCTACCTGTACCTGTTACAGTGAGATGATATCACCACAAGCCCTACCTGTTACAGTGGGATGATAATACTCTAAGCCTACATCTTACAGTAAAATGATAACATTTTTCAACAATCACATAACGATTGTTGAAAAATCAGGTTTAGAATAAGCATATTGTATGTATTGATACTTAGGGTCATAAGTGTTTCAGGTTCAATTCCCCAATTTTTCCCGGAGCCAATTCGATGCAGATATTTATATAGTTACTCTTACTGAATTAGGGCAACAAGCTTGTACAAGTATTCGGGAACGTACCGAAAAATGAGAAATATGCGCGCGACGTCTTGCTGATAGTAAGAAATGTTCTCTTGAGCGAACAGTAACGGGAAATGAAAATTGTGCTAATATAAACGTACAGCCAACCGTAAGCCGCATGCAGTGAAAGTGGTAAAATTCAACTTTCACACTGTACGATTTAGATAACTGAACTATATAAGACAAGTCTGCGATGGATAGCAAGAAATCTCAGAGGAGCTTGGACTACACAGCCGGGGTACATTATTGCCATACGATTGATCTCTTCGGCCTCTTTCTGTGTTGATTTTACAAAGAATTTTTTTTTTGGTTTTTCTAGACCTTTCAGATTGTGTTTTCTGCAGGAAGTCATTAAAATTAGTTCAAGATATGAAAATCCCTAACTTATGGGCTGGAAGAAGCGTAACCATTAAATCTGCATGCCACGTATGCCCCATTAAAAACCAATCTTGAATGAACGACGTAGTACTTAAGATTTTAATTTTTTAATATTGTTTATAAACTTTTTACTTCATATTTATGCAGGGCTTGTACCCGGAGTCACATGGCATAATCGCAAACAAGTTTTACGACCCCGAGTTCGGAGCAACGTTCGCGCTGGGGTCCTCCGAGAGCCAGAAGGGCCGTTGGTGGGGCGGCGAGCCCATCTGGAACACCTTGACGCGACAGGTAACGAGAATGCCAGGGCGGTGAGCCCTTCTGGAGCACCTTGACGCGACAGGTAACGAGAACGCAGGAATGGTGAACCAATCTGGAACGCATCGTAGCCACAGGCGACTTGAGCGCAACAAGCCGTGGCGCTTCGCTGATGAAGTTTTTTTTTCTCGGTCTGTCGTAGGAGATTCATGCTTAGTACTTAATTTCTTGTGCATTAGTTGAGTAAGTTTTTAATGAAAATGTGTATTTGCATATAGGTTGTGAATGAACATAGGTTGTGAATATGCATAAGTTGTGAATGTGCATAAGTTGTGAATGTGAATGAATTAATTAACAAGTCAATCTGAATTAGCTGTGCGATCGAGAAATAGCATACGCACAATCAACAGACGTATGACCTCAGGCGCATTGTGAGTTGTGCTCCTTAGAGAATCTCATGCTTTGAAAAGAGGTCTATGAGACTACCAGAAAATTTACATAAAAAATATCACTAGAAAAATTTCTCCTACTTCGTTCAAGAGTGACAACCAACACACTACAGTAATCCCTTGCTATATCGAGCTTCAGCTACCGCTGCTTCATTTTGTCGCGGGTATGCATAATAAATATTCGTTAGAAAAATCATTCGCTGATCCGCTGACTTCTGAAGAAGTCGATCGGCACGTTTTTCAATAAAATATACCTACAATGGTATAAAAACAAAAATATTAAAAAACTTACAATTTAATTCATAGCACTTATAACAATGAAAACAATGAATTCGCAACACAAATACTCGAAAAAATACCACCAGTCAAATATTTTTTCCTGGCGGATTTCACCAATCGCAGCCGGGATCAGGCAACGTAACAACCGCAATAGGTGAGGGATTAATGTATTTGTGGAGAGTAATTTTTTATATTTTCCTCGAAAGTCGAAAGGCTAGTATCCTAATTTTAGCATGAGCAAAGTTCGATTCCAATTTCTTAGCTACAGATAATGTCGTGCCGCCTAGCATGTAGTGTGTCGTCACATGGCTGTGCTGGAGCTGACGACCAAAATGTGCACAAGTTGCGAATAGTGTTTCTCTAAAGGCCGGTCCACGCGCTCAGTTTTCACAACAATTTGTCTGCGCAGTTTTAAGTCGGAATGAAATCGTTGCAATTTTTAGAGCGTCCACACGGTGCCGACTTATCTGAGTAGTTTGCTCAGTTTTGCTAATAGGAAGAAAAGGTGAGAGGAGAGAAGGGCATAGGGCGTCCCCGGAGAGAAAGGCGGCCAAAGGTGTGGGTAGGGGGAAGGGGAGGCCGAGGTTCCCCTGCCCTTAGAGGAAAAGATGATGGAGCCTCCGTCCGGTAGCGATCCGGGCGGGGGGGCCTCTGCCGTTTGGCCCGGCCCGCGAGTAAGTCGGGCATCCGGCCGACGCGCAGGCCAGGGTACCCCCACGACGAAGACGCGGCAGAGATCGGGGGCAATGGACACGTAAACAGGCCCTGGGCCCAACGCCAAACATCAGCATGCAATATGTACACATAGCCTCAGATTAATGAGCTGTGGTTAACTCCGGCTAACAGTAAATCCGCTTTGCACAACACAGCCACTGCTTCACAGAGCCGGAGCCCAACTGGCCTGAGAGCAACAGGCCCTACCGCAACAGGCGGCGCAGGTTATGTTACGTTACGTTGGGAGTAGCTGTTGCGGTAGGGCCTGCTGCGCTCCGGCCACTTGGGCTCCGGCCTGTATGCGCTCCGGCCTGTGACTGAACTGCGCTGTTGTGGTGGGCGCTTTGTGTCAAAAGCCGTGAAGATGCCCGGCTGCGTTACGCTCGGGAAGGTATATAAATAGCACTGTGGACTTAGGCTATGCTGACCTCTAGCTATCCACCCAAACTGAGCGTGTGGACCAGCCTTTATGGCAACTTGCTGCCACAGCAAGAACTGAATTACGGAAAAGTTTTTGGTTAGTGTTAATATTATCATTATTATTATAATATTATTATAATAGTACATTATAATATTACAATATATTATAATAATAATATATTGTTATAATATTACCCTCGCTCCAAGATCCATGAGAAATTAACGACAACAGGACGAGCCCGTGAGACGGTCCAGGGACAAACCGCGGCACTCCTTCCTCAAATCTCGGGTGATGTACAACTGTGAAGATTGAATTATTAGCGTTTCCGTGCCTATGAACTCGTCATTTTCACCGTGCCCAGCTCTATATCAGGATAGGATTTTCTAAGTATTTAAGGGTTGAGATAACCCTTTGTGTCAATTCTCCTTGTCAAGTCGTGGCTGCCAGCGAGAGAACTTTTCACGTCCTAATACCCTCGTGCTAAACCTGACAGTATACTAGTTTAACTAAAAACTCTACCGAGAGGAGTTACGTTGAGATCAAAGTTCATTCAAGTAATTGGTAAAAGTACCATAGGCTTTAAAATCATACAGTGAAAGTAGTATATAAAAATACCGAGTTCAAGAGATCAAAGTTCAACCACTACGGAGGATCGAAATTTAGGTTAATCAATGGTTTATACAAGGTCCCCCGAAGGATTACTAGAATTTGAAACAAGAACCAACACCAGAGGCCACGGCTATAAACTAAAAAAACTGCGCTGCAACTTCTCCACGCGACAACATTTCTTCTCGCTTCGAATCACCGACATGTGGAACAGCCTCCCCGATGACATCGTTGGCGCTCCAAGTATGAACGCGTTCAAGAACAGACTAGATAAAGCTATGGAAAAATATATGTTCAGATTTGAAATGCCTAGCACCATATCGAACCCGGTGGAAGTCTAGTAGCTACTTCAAACTATCGTCAATCATGAAAAGATCCGGTCAAATGACATGATTTTTGATCTTCTGTGAACAAGGCACGAAAAGGAAAAGAATCGGCGACAGGCCACATTAGGCCTACACTTCAACGCTGAGATCACTATGTTATGTTATGTTAATATGATTTGTTGATCCATTTGTTTCTGTTCGTTTAAAGAATTCTTAGACGTTTCAAGTGTGTTCCCACTGGTAAAATTTTATTGCGTTTTTCTCGTAACTAATATGATACGTCGATTCAATTGCAATCATTATATTGCAGCTGGCTCCATATTAATGATAATAATAGTATCGATATATTCATTTTAGGGCAAGAAAAGTGCCACTTTCTTCTGGCCCGGTTCAGATGTGCCCATCGGAGGGCAGTATCCAACGTACTGGTATCCCTACAACTCATCCGTGCCCTACGAAGATCGAGTACAGCAGGTACGAGAGATTTGGTATCCAAGCAAAAAAAAAATAGATTGCACGTATCACTAAAATTAAAAATTAATTCTAAAGTTTCATTCGAGTGTTTTGTATCAGTTACCTTAACACGTATCAGATTGGAGTAGTGCTTGAGATTTGCAAGCGTGCAGGTCCTGGACTGGGTGACGTTGCCAGCAGACGAGCGGCCCGCTTGGATCACACTCTACTTCGACGAGCCCGACCACACCGGCCACGCTGAGGGACCTGATTCACAGGGCGTAAGTTCATCCTCTGAGCTTCTTGAGCTTGCACTTTTTATCATAACATTTTTATATTATTATACAATTATCTACATTTTCACATTTTTGCCGCTACGAAATAGACTTTAGAGAAAAATTATAGAAGTCATTCGTCGATCACCCAGGTACTGAGTGCTACATTTATACCTTTACAATGAAGTATGTGAACAAATTTATTGAAATGTTCTTGGAAGTCTTGTAAGCTGAAGACAATTCGAATTTCAAATTTGTAAATTCCTGCAGATAAATGACCAGCTTGTTCGCATGGATGGTCTCATCGGACAGCTGGTGACCGGGCTAGAAAATGCCGAGCTTCTGAACTGCGTAAATCTGATCATTGTGGCAGACCACGGCATGGCCGGTGGAGGTCTAGGCTGGGTTATCAAACTGTCGGACTACATAAGTGATTTGGACGACACGGCCTATACCTACACCGGGGCCTTCACCAGGCTTGACCCCAAGAACGATAGTGATGGTACAATGTCCCAAACCTTCAGTACAATGCGTCCTAATTAGTCATATTCAATCTTAACGAAGGAACATAAGCTTTTACAATATCAGAGTGATGTCTCTATTATGTAATTGACGAATATTTCTCTTAATGGCAAAAATTCAATTGTTCCAACTTTTTGCTCGTGGCTAGTGACAGATTCATTTCAAAGCGGTTGATATTTTTCAATCAACAGATCAGCAATTCACAAATTTATTAATTTATTTGAGCAGAAGTTAAGTACGACATGATGAGAAAACTTGCCTGCCAGCGTACAGACATGCGGACCTATGAAAAATCCGGTTTGCCGAAACGCTTCCATTTTAGCAACAACCGCCGGATCGAAGACATCGTTCTGGACTTGGACGACGGGCGTTACGGTTCCGTGTCTTCCAGCTACTACAACAACGGCAACCACGGCTACGATAATTATTTCCCTGCCATGAATGTGAGTTAAAGTAGCAATCAATAAACAGTTTATACTTCCAGCGTGCAAACTTCTGAAGAATACCATTACAAGAAGTAAAAACACTCATACGCTTACATATTGATTATATCTGCTTCAAACTTCGTTAGTTTAGCACACAACGAAGCCAGAGAAGCTTCGAATTACTATATTGAATTCCAATTCCGATGCATATATTCCGATCATGCCTACCGCCATTATTGCTGTCCAGGCTAACCCCCTCACTCCTATAGGCTCTGTTTGTGGCTCGTGGACCAGCTTTCAAGTCTGGCCTGGAGCTGGCACCGTTCCAGAACATCCAGCTGTACAACCTGATGTGTCACCTGACAGGCGTGCTTCCAGCCGAGAACAACGGCACCCTGGGTGCACTCAACGCCATGCTTAACACACCTGGCCCAATTATTCCGCTCCCAGAGGTGCGCACACGTTTGAAGCCCTCACAGCAGGGAAGGTTGGGTGAACGATCAAATTTCGCTATAAAATATGCCTTCCAAAATAGAGTAGATCGTGTTGCAAAATCGAGTAAGGGAAGTAGCCCCTACGAACTTTAAAATACAATTAACACATTGACTACGATTGCTTCATCTTGTACTATTATTTCATTTTTGTACTGTTTTTAAACAGAGTTGCCAGACGGTCATTTTCCGATCAATTTTCCGTGATTAAGTTTTTCTCAATTGCGTCGGCCGGCTAAAATTTATGATAGGGGTACTTCCTAATTAAATTTTAAATACTGCAAAAATAAAATGAATGGAATTTTTATAGTGGAACCTACAAATAAATTAGTATATTTAGAGTTAACGGCCTTTTTTGTTCTCGGATTTGGCCAATTTTAGGCAACCTGAATTATGTACCACTACGTCCTGGAGAAATACATTTCGTAGTACGCAAATGTACCACTTCGTAGTCAATGTGTTGAAATATTTTAATTCCATGTGAACGTCCTTGAACGCAGTCCTAAACATTGACTTGGTTGACGCAATGCACTCCATGAAATAGCATCCCATTCCATTGTCTCATTGTAATCGACCAATTCACCCGCTGTTAGTTTACTCGTTCACACAAACCTGTTCCGTTGTTTACATGTTTTTGAAACTCGCGATGGTTGCTTTGCTTCGTTGATATTAAAGGTTTCAGCAGAATTGAGCGATTATGCGAATTTATTCAATTTATATGAGCCAATTTCAGCAGATTTGATGGCACCACATGTGCTATGGTTAAATGTCAAGACGAAAGTGATTTACATTTTTAATCTGAAATGTATTTTCAGTGTGAAATGAACTAACTAACGGAAGCAGTTGCCACGCGCTGTGGGTCTATAGTATACTAATAGTTGTACGATGCTAATTTTTACAACACTTCTCTTTAACTTCACTGCTTGTTGTTTGTTTGTGTCTGCTAAAAATCTTATATCACATCGCTATCTAAAACACTTCTACCTGCCCAATCGATCTAAAATTTCGCACACTTGCGTAAATTCGGAGAAAATGCTTGAATCAATTGACAGAACAAATAATAAAAAAATTTTAATACTAAAGAAAAATATAATAATATTTTTTTATTATCTGAAAATAAAATAAGAAATTCCTTGCACAAGTGCAAAATCGGAGACACTGGCCTCTTTATAAGTGTTGCCTTTTAAAAATAAATTTTAAAAGCATATTATTATTCTAACCATAATCCGGACTGTATGGTTAAAAATTTTTTCTCCATCAATGCCTAGCAAAGTAGTATATACACAATCAACATTTGAGTATGTTTTCACACACAGCTTGAGCCAAGTTGGTCAATACAATATCCGATTTCTGGCATGAGAAGTTGATTTGAAAGCAGCGAAACGTCCAAATCTCATTTTTTTCTCAAATCTCAACGACCAAATCGCATTTTGGACAGCGCCGTTCAATTCTCGCCAAATGATTATAAAAAATGAGCCGCCCAAAGAGTGTGCCCTGAAATTATTAAACCAGCATTGAAATTATTATCATGTCAATACTGCTCCTCTCGCAGGTCGAACAGCCGCCAGCCGCCTCGTTCCCGAGCGAGACGGAATTGCCCGACAGGTTTGGAGTGTCTGGCTGTCCTGGAGATCTAACAGCTTACGAGGCATGTACACTTCGTGTTACTAATTTTGTGCATAAAATGCGTCACAAATATGGTTTTGCAAACCTCAATATTTCTTAAATGGCGCGTCCTTGCTGAGTGTGAATAACATTTTAAGTTAACTTAAACGCGATGATTGTTTTTTTCTTTCATGCCGAGTAATATGTGAGTAAAAAATGAGTGATTAAAAGGATAATTATATGCAAATTTCATTTGTAATTAATATCAGAATTGGCGAAAACAGAGATCAGTTTTATGAAAGTAGTAACGCGCGCAGGATTGGTTGTCACTCCTGAACATGACATCGGAAGAGCAAGCTCGACTCGAGTCTAAGCACGCGCCCTGGGGGCTGCCTCGAGTCCTCAACCAGACAGATGGGCTGACGCTGCTCCATCAGCCTGACTTCATTACTGGTCAGTTGCATTCATTATTGTTTCCATAGTCAATTCATAAAACTTCATAAAATAAATTCAATTTAAATACATGTATCGAGGCGGTAAACACCATCATGTGTTTACGGACAAACTCCAAAGTTTAGTTAAAAAGCAAATGGATACATACATTTGGTTCGATATCCAATATTAAAAAGTGCACAAGAATCTCTGTTCATTTCTTACAACCAGAAAGCTAAATTGAACGAGTAAAAACTATTTCTAGTCAATACATTGGGCCGACCTATTGCAAAATTCTGAGGTAAATTTAACGAAAATCAACTTATTTAGTTACTAATAAATTGAACGGCTTCCAGCATATTCGTCATCACTCAAGATGCCGGTGTGGTCGAGCTTCTCCTTGTTCGGGGCCCCGACCGGCACCCCCGCCTTCAACTGGACAAGTGACGTCAGACTCAACGCTGACCAGAGCGTCACCTGCGCTGACTATGACAGCCTAACCAACGTTACTATGGCGCCACTCTTCTTCCCAGGTGAGTTAACGAAAAAATTACAAAATAAAAGCGATAAATTTTGCGTACGTTATGTCTTGAAGTGAAGTCATCCGTATATATCTTATATCAGCTGATATTTAAATACTTTTCATTCATAATCAAAAACCGCACCATACTGCCGGCAAGATTATGTTGTTCTCATAGCTAATTATTGATTATTTAATCTTGATACTTAATAACTCAAGTAATGAAGAATACTATCACACGCCCACGGAAGAGTGCTGCAGGACTCAGATCCGATTTTTCCAGACAATACGATTTATTTCTCCAGGCAATAAAATTGATTTTTCCAGGTAATATGATTGATTTTTCATTAATATGATTGATTTTGCATTATTATAATTGATTTTTCATTAATATGATTGATTTCATGAAGTAATATCCTGTCGCACTAGGTTTTTCGTCGGACAGTTCCCAGAGCAAAATCCCGTACATGGTGAGTAACGCAGTGCCGTCAACGGAGCAGCAGCAGCGGCATTGGCAGGACCTCATGTCCCATCTCATCGCGCGTTGGTTGGGCAGCGGCAGCCTGAACGTTATAGTGGGCCCGGTGTTTGACCGCAACGCCGACTCCCACGCTGACGTCTTCAACAGCACCGAGTAAGTTCCAGTGATCTATTCTCAAGACAAGGCGATTTTGCTAATTCGGGCGTGTATTTACTGGTTAATTACAAAAAAATATAACTCAGTACTCACTGCAGTGAGTGACAGAGAGCGCATTTTCTCGTCGACGAAAACTTGAGGTCAAAGACAGACGGACGGACAGACAGACAGACAGACATGGCGAGCACAATAGTGCATTTTTTCCATAAATGAGAAAATGCGCTAAAAACGCATGTTAATAGGTCCATGACATAACGACGTAGTCGAGATTTTTTTGAGAAAATTTTCAGGAGTAAATTGTCCAATCGTTCTTTTGCCAACCTCAATAACAACACAGATTCTTCAGTAGCGAAATACATGCGTAAAAAGAAACAATTTTCAAATTCGGTATTTCTTCTACAGAACCTTCCCTCAGCTGCCCACAGTCCTGTTCGCTATCGTAACACGATGTTCCATTGGCGGCAACATCACCGCCTGTGAACCACAAAACCTCGAGTCACGAGCCTTCCTTTACCCAACTGTACAGCCCGTCGAGAACTGCTTGGTAGGAATTCATTTAGAAGTATCAAATTCAGTCACTGCATATACTATCAAAATAAAATCAATCGATTACCGGAATAATCAATTCCTTTCTTTCATTTGTGCCGATGTGAAGCCTGCTAAGTCATAACACCTAATAAATAATTTAGACATCTATGAATTGAGAGATGACGCCTAATTTTACTTCCTGTTTAATAAAGTAAGTTTTAAAAATCATAACGAAAATCAAAATACTTGTACGATTTGGTGTATGCAAACCAAATTCTTCTGTCAAAAGTATTAAAAAAAATTAAGTTTGTGAACGATGTACTTGGTTCACCGGAACAAATTTATGGAATACTGACTCGAGATTGTCCCATCAAACCTAGATTTTGTGCCCAGATAATACTAATAAAGATTTGTTATCGTTGATTACGAATAACGAACTGCAATACGTTGTGCAGGAAAGCAGCGAATATGCTTTGGAGTTTAGCAGTACCGTCAGGGATGTCAGAATCATCACCGGTTTGGCCTTCTACCCTGATCTGTCATTCGACGACAGAGTTCGTCTCGAGACGGTGGTCCACCAGTCGCTCTGGTAGAGCTTTCCGAAACGCCAACACAGGATTTACCAACGGTTATAAGTTATTTTTCTTGAGATTCTTCACCCAAAAATGAGGACAGAAATAATCTGAGATTATGAAATCTGGCAAAAAGGTCTAAACTAATGGTTAAATGTTTGACCAATTATCATCAGCTAGCTACCTGAATTGACGAGTATAAGAAATTTCAATAGAATGCCTTTTTTATTGTACACGTTTCAAGTGCTTCGTGCTTGAAGTCAACGATTCGATTAATTCACTGATTTCCATTCAACCAAGGAAGATATTGTTTAATCGGTTCAAGGTATAGCGACACTGAACATAGTGCTGAGTGTATATATACATCTTCCCGGACACACGCTATCCAATGCAACTATGTACCGAACTTTAATGCTCAAATATACGAAACCATAATATTTCATTTCATCTCTCCTTCCACATTTATACATTAGTTGAATAATTAAAAATGAGGCATTCAAGGTCCCAGGTAGAATTTCTAATTGACGAGGGCTACTATTTTGGAAATCCTCACAATAATTTAGAAACAAGAACGTTTTTGACGTCATTTGAGTAGTAAATGATTATAGCTAGAGATTTTTGCTGGTGATTGCGTTTAGCTGGTTTTTTCATCAGGCGATATTGCAGGTTGAGCATTTTGGTTAATGATTCTGTTACTTGGATTTGCTTCTTCTTGAAAAAATACGACCATAGTTGAGAGTTATCAAATCAGAGTTGAATAATAAAGTACGTTTATTTTGGAAAAACAAAGCTTATCGTTACAGCTTTCTTTGCGTTATTATTCTTGATACATCACGTTACGTGACAAGTGAAACGATGTACAAAATTTATTTTACAGTGCGTGAGGTGTCCAAAAAAAATTCATTGAAACTAAGCGTTTCTATCTAATCTAAAGGTATTTTTATGAGAAGCATCTGCACCGAACGCATTTTAAATCAAATTTTGAGATAGGTACTCAACTTGCCCTACTGAATTAGATGCAAAGTTTTTGGTGTAATATTTTATTTTCTGAGAGCATTAGAGAACATAAATTGAACGTTACAAATATCGGGATTTCCAAAAAGTCTGTAGTTCTACTGAAAAATTACAGTACTCCTCAATAATTAGCTAATTCTCACTTACTTGACATCTTTTCATATAGGTAGGATTAAAATTGACGTGAAATTATTCAACCGCTAGTTAAAATTATGATGTTACGCATAAGTTAGTTATACAACTGTCATATCTGTGTACAGCGCTGTGAAAAATTATCAAGGGATTATTGACAGAGCACATATTAAAATTCTAGTTCAAAAGTAATCTCTTTCTTAGAGAATATAATTGGAGAGGCAGACAAAGGTTTTTAGGTCAAACAATCTTGTCAGCATGACGGTGGGCTGGATCATAGATTTTTTTTGTACGATACAACACTTTAGTACAATAAAATTACAACTCTTGCTCAACCAAGTAATTGTTGCTGTTGTAAGAGTGATCCAGAGAACACGGGACAGAGCAAATGAACTATTCTTTTACCAAAAATTTTATCAGTGGTTGAATGGACAATGAATTAGCAATGGATATCGATTACAATTTTTTTTGTGGAAAACAGGAATTGAATCCATAGATATTTTGCTTTGAAACTAATGATGCATAAGATATCTCATCTGGGAAAAACAATATGAAACGATTCTGTCTAGAGTTCAAAACTTGTTGGATGAACTGAGGATAGATGGGGTGTACAATGTTCTACTTATGGCACACATAAATATGAGTTGGTGAGTAGACTCACTAGACTGCATAGTTGAAGAACACTTAGCTAATATTAACACATTCGTGTTAGAGAGATACTACCCCAATCATTATGAGTCAGAAACTTTTCCAGACTAGAAAACCTTGATATACTGAAGATGTAAGTTGCAGGTTATAGAAAAGCTTTATTCATAACCTGCAACAATGAAACACCCCACAAATATGAGATAAATCTGATCTCCAAAGACGAAATGGTAAAATAGATCACTGAATGAACATTCAGCAGGAGAAATGACAGAACCAACGAATTTTGCACACATAGCAGGATTACATAACTTAAGTCTAGCAAATTATCAAATGAAACACGTTTGTATAGTAAAATGATGTACATTAAGCAATTCTACAAAATGTACACAAGACGAAAACTGTAAGAACTATCAAGAGAAAAAAACTGTCTCAGTAATATTTAAACAAATAACAATACAAAGCTACAGCAAAATAATCTGCCATACATACAACCTTAGGTCAAGTAACTTTAAATACTGATGATAAAATAACTCGTACTAACATAGCACATGAAAAACATTGCAAGGGCTAAATGGTGATATGCTGCGCCTGTGCAGCATCAGTCACCCTGTTAATGCTGAGGTTGGCATTGGCAATGTCTGCAAGAGCTCGACTTATCTCCCCAAGTAGTGCTTCTCCACGTTCCACATCCCTTATGAGTCTGTTAGCTGCTTCCTCGCCAGCTACCTCCAGCTGGCGCATGCTGTTTGTCTGCAAAAACAATTCTATGAAAATATACAAACATTCAATGCTATCATTCCAAATTAATGTATAGCTAAGAATTTTCTAATACAAGCATTGCCATTCATGGGCAATCATCCCTAACAAAAAGTCACTAGGTATGGATGGGTAATGAGTCGAAGATGTACATATACAGATAAAGAATAAGTTTTATTACAGACCTGCAGTTCAGCACATGACTCCTCAGAAGGCAGGGAATCAATGAGCACATCAATATCTTTAGCATTTCGAGCGATGAGAGTGGCAAACATTTTTTTGTGATCTGCAAGAAGATTCTGAGCAATAATACTTAGAAATCTTATACATATAGATGTGAATATAGGTAGCACCTTAAATTACAAAGTTAGCAAACAAGTTTAATGCAAGTCCTTAAAATCATTAATTTAGCACTCAAGATTGATTAGTCTACTGCCACCTGATGAGCTTTTACACATAAGAATGCTCACCTATGATCCATCATATATACATTTTCAATATATATAAAATCAAATGAAAGTACAAAGCAAAAACTCTACCTAGGGAATGTTTAAGAATTTCTAACAATAATCTTACCATAACCTCCTTCATTCTGAGATGGTGTTTTGCTGTTCTTATCAAAATTAGGGAATGGAGCCGGTTGAGCATTTTGGAATAGGATGCCGATAGCATTACATAGATTTTCTGCTTGCTGAAAAAAATAGCCAAAGCTGTAATTTTCAATTCATGTTAGTAAAATTCATAAAAAAATTTATAACGGCTATGTATCTGACCCAGTGTCTACATTGTGTCAAGCAATATTATCAAATCAATAAATATTGCTGAAGTTTTGCAAATAAATATTGAAAGGAAAAATATATATAAATATACAGGAGTTAGACAAAATAAGGAAAATTCCTGAGAAATCCACAAAATATATATGAGTATGATGAAAGTCTACCTTTTGCAACAATTACAGCCTTAATTCACCAAGGTATTGATTTATACAAATTGTGATTTGTTAACAAAGGAATTTAAACCCATTATTCAGTTAAATTGCTTTTCCAGCTCTTTTAAAGACAATGACACCAGGAATTGACTTCAGACTTGTATCTCTAAAATGGACTATAAATGCTCAATAATATTCAGGAATCAAGGTTGGTAAATTGGTAATTTTGAAGATCAAATGAGATGCTCAACAGTCAACTTCATTAGAAGGTTCCTCATGCCAATTTTTAACAATTCCAGCTGCATGAATTGGGGCATTATCATCTTGAAAGATGACATTCCCTTCCAGAAACAGTGCTTGAACCATAGGATGAACTTGGTCCTCCAAAATTCTTAAATAGTCCCACACTCCCACCTGTTGATTCTAATCATTGGTCCACACTACAGGTCCACATAATAGCACCCCAGATCATCACAGAATACAGATACCCGGCCATGTTGTACGGATAGGAGGAGGCAGTTGAGTTTAAACGATTCTTTTGGCTGTCTCCAAATATGAACTTGGTCAGAGGTTGAAAATTAGGTTAATGATGATTTGTCAGAGAAAATCACATTTTTCTACTGCTTGAGGGATCAATTCTGGAGGGGTTTCCACCACTCTAAATGCTTTGAAGCATTTGTACTTGAAACCAGAGATTTTCTAGTTGCACTAATTCTATGGTATCCACTATCCTGATCTGTGCAGCTCTCAGCAGAGTCTTTATGGAAACTAGGTTCTGTATCTTGTAGGTGTCCATCTAGGACTGCAGTAATTATAACAGCCATGGTCTTTTTATTGTCCCTCACAATATGATTTAGGTACCAACAGTCACTTTTAGACAACTTCAACTTTCGGCCAGAGCTGTGCTTTGCTGAGGACGTTTTTCCTTCCTCATCCTTAGACATACACATACCTGATTAACAGCATCTTGCAGTTGAGACAATCGATCAGCCATCTTTTGGTTTCTGAAATCAGCAAAATGTACTCTAGTCAAAATATAGGTAGGTAGTCAATACTTCACTTGATACATTCAATTTGATTCAAATTATGTAAAGACTACATAATCACTGTAGGCTGATTGTGATTCATGGAACCTCTCTGAAATAATAGCCATATTTTCATTCCTATTTATAATTGGGATCCATAAACATTAAACTAGCCTACCTATCAAATTCATTTATTGTCATTTTATTTGGAATGAAATCACACAGGAAGTTTAATGTTGTAGACCTTCTGAAGTTCTGATCAATTTTATTTGAATGTAGGAATACTACATTTCACTAGGTAATGGGTCACATTGTCGCAAATAAATAGTGGGTTGCAAACTTGCAAGTAAATAGCATAATTTAATTTAACCAGACCTGAACAAAGATGTTACAATTTTATTACAAATAGGCCTATTACCATTTAGTGATTTACCGTACTCCGTACCGGTACCTGTTAGAAATTTACTCACCAATTCAGCCTCTTTCAAATAATAAACTCACAAATGGGATAAAATAAATGTTTTTTTTTACGGAGCTAACACGACATAAACTGAGGACTAAAACTTCTGCTGAGCTTAAGACTACACTCAGGAGCCAGCTGACTTCAGTCACTACACAAGACTACAGAGTACAGACAGTACAGACACCAGCCAGCTCGAATCAGCAATGAACACAAACAATAGCAGATTAGGTTTCAACGAATAAAGATTCCGTGTATGAAGACTCGACGATGTCGGTTTAAAAATAAAGTTTCATCGAGATAGTAGGTCTAACAAACAGCAGATTCCTAAATATTGGTAGTTATTGAAATATGACTGGAAAATCCAGCCATAGATAAAAATTTGGAGTTTTTGCGAAAATTTCTGAAGCTTTTTATGGCATTAAATACCCTTGGCTGAATTTTTTGTTCATCTATATGTCACAGCTGACTGAAAACAACAACTCTGCTCCGCTGCTCTTGTCAAAGCCGCTAAGGCGTCGCTCAATGTGTCTGCAATTTTTTATTATTTTAATAAATTTAAACTGAATAAATAAAGTGCTGGACCCATTCCGTGGTATGTCGAGCAAAGGAAAGACTACACAGTCATTCAACACGTCTAGAAAAAAGCTACACTTCCTTCAAAAATTAACGTTACGCCAGGTAAAAATTTAATCTCATTTCAAAACCTACTTCGTATTGCAAGATTATGAATCAATTTGAGACTTGTAGAGTTGTACAAATAGGCTGGCCTTCATTTTGCACTACAAATAGTGGATCTTTTTCTTGATAAATTTGCATTTTAGAAGGCTATTAATCTACCTAATTTTATTTTAAAATGCTTATTTTCAAATTTCAATGACATCAATTAATTGATCTTCCACCTTCCAGCTCTAAAACTAATGGTGTTCAAAATTATTAAGGTCAATAATTTGACCTTAATAATAAATTTGACTCAATAAAATTATTAAGGTCAATCAAACTGGAAAATAAAACAAAAAACATAAGATAATGAAACAAAAATGCTTATGCTTGTAGATAATTTCACTCATATCTGTATTTCTGTTCTAACTCATTCAGCAAAAATTTTGGAAATGGTTCATTTTTGTAGATTTGCGGGCAGAAATGGTTACAGTTGTTTTTGTTTCACAGGTCATTTTTCTCAATTACCAGTAAGAATATTTATGTCCGATGGGGCATTTATGTCCAATTCATTGGTTATTTATGCCCAATTTTCCATTTTGTAAGCCTGCAAATAACTTAAATTCTTTCTAGGGTCTACCTAATATTTCAATTTGGTTTATATAATTTGATATGAATTTGAAATTGCAATGCCTAATGCTTTACAAATAAAAGCATAGTGGCAAAGCAGCAACTTTTTTAGACTCTCCCTCAAGTTCATTTTTGATTGCTATAAGTAGACCAGTAAAGTATTATGGATACCAGACTTATCATGCATAAGAAATTGGTTAAAATCTTGAGTAAATGAGGGAATTAAAAATGAACTAATTGTAAAAAATATCTTGTTTGTCACTATGAATAAAAGTAATATTAAAAAATGCCTTATATGTGTAAGGTGGCAATGTTGATATTATTTCTCCCTGGATATTTCCTTATTTATATCTTCCTTGCTGAAAGATCATCTCCTTTATTGCAATATGTTCATAAACATTTCCATGTTTGCCTTCCCTCTTTAATGTTTATCAAGTCAGGCCCTTGGTGACATCAAACGATGATATACAAGATGATATATAAGCTCCATCTTGAGCAATTAACTTCAGTCTTTGGCAAGGACCGATGATGGTATTCTGCTCCTGTCCATATCAATCAGGACAGTAAACTTGAATTAATGTCAGAGTAGTACACCATATACTCTAGACATATCCTTATTTCAACTGGATGCCAAAGACATTAATGTTTAAGCTCCAACTTATAAACTTGGATCATTCTAAACTGTAGGCCAAATTTTAATCTTAATTAATACAATATAATCATTTACCCTGTTCCTCAATATCCTCGGATCATGGTACAACCGGACCAACCCTCATGTCTCATTTAATTACCAATTACCATTCATATAAGTGGTGCAGAGAAAAGCAACCTCTTACATATGAATTAATATTCAATTTATGATATCTGTAAATTCTATAAACCATTTGACAACTAATGCTATAGAATTTATTTGATGACCTAATTTGTATATTTATTTAAATTTTCAAATATGTTACAGGTATATGGAGATCTCCGTCAACACAAAAGAGGTCCAAGACTTCGCTTCTTCAATCAACTGCCTCCACGCTTGGCATTCCCTCTAGCTCAACTTGCTCCACTATCAGCTTTATCTGCAGGGTATGAATAAATTTAACTGGAGAGTTTTCAGATTATTTTTATTTATTTTTACATCTTGCATTAATAAAATGACTGGCATATGTTTTGTCTAACTATTATGGTGCCAGGTAAAAACTTATTAATAGACTATTTTTATATCTTATGGCAGGTCCTAACTATAATTATTGTGTAAAATTGGTTTTATTTATACAGCTCTGAAGCACATAAAAATTTGTTGAAGGGTCATTATAAAGTTTTGTGCAGAATTTCACTGTCAAACTGTTTTTTCTATAGGCATATATTTCTGGGCTTCACTAAGTGTGGACAGTTCTTCTTGTCTTACACTTACTCATGTGATCTGGATGACATCACCTTGCAGATCACACACAGGTCAGTTGCTGATGTAAGGAGAAATGTGTCTTCAGAATTTCAGATTCCAGTCTCATGAATCCATGAATATTGTCTAAACTTTTCTGTCAAATGATTTAGCAATTTTAAATGTGTCTCCGTATTTGGAACAACAATTCTTTTAATCATTTTCTGAGAATCATATACCTGAATTATTTGTGTGCTGTGCAGCTTGATTAATTTTTAGGATATAATGTCACAGACATATTAGCATTGTAAATATTACAACACTGCCTAATTGTGATGAAGTGTTATTCTCTTTGTTATTCTCTTTAAAATTACTTGAATGTGATTGCTTAAAATAATGTCTTTCTTTTGGCATATTTATATTCATAATAATTTGGAAACACTTTTGTTTTATTAAATAAGTCAGTTCAGAATTTATCACATATTTTTTGGGCAGGTACCGATTGCATTGGTGGCTTGTTGTACCATATGCAAACCTCAGGAAGGTTGCCGAGGTGATGCTTTTTGGAGACCAAGATATCCTTGAGACCTCTTATGATAACCTTTCCATCACCATCTGCCAGTGGCCCAATGACCTCTCAAAGATTCTTGTTTATGGTTGCAGGTTAGTCATAAAAATATTTCCCAATTCTCTTTCACCACTTCATTGTGGTGTTGTTATTTTTTTTGTGACTCCATAGACACATCTTTCCGTTTTGTATTTCTTCAATTTTCTTGTGCTGATCTAAGATCCTAAATTCTACACTCTACAGCCTAGAGAAAGAGACGGATGTTCTGAACCAGAGTAGCAATAGACGATGTTACCTCACAATCACTGCTGTGCCATCCTTGCAAGGCTGTAAAGCCTGCTCCTTGGTAGCTACATCTTATGAAGAAGAAGGTATGTTGGTGCTATGTTAGTTTTTTCTCACCAATAATTTATTATTGTAAATTTGTAGTTGATCAAGTCTGTGGTGATTTTTTTCAGACACATTCTAGTTTACTTTACATATATTAATGTATTTTATATTAAACCATTCATAGCACACCAGCACTGAGTGCTTACTTTAATGCATCATAGAATGTTTATAATTTTGTTTTGTTCCCACATACCAGAAGTGGCAGAACGCTGGAACACATGTGCTCGTCTCAGCTGTTTGCGTCATGGCTACACAGTGCACACAAGCTTTGATGTGGTGCCTCCTTTTCCTCGCTTCATGCCTTCAGTGCAACTCAAATATCGTGACTGGGTGGTTCTTAACGCCGGTAATTTCATTCACGTGCTCCGCGTGTCACTGAAGAATACAACGAACGTCACAAACAATGTTGGTGTCATGCTAGGCACCTCAAACTGGAATGCGCTCTATCAAGCAAGACTGGCGGGCTTACAAGTCATGCAGTCTCCTCGAGTCCAGGATGAGAGACATGCGCCTGCTGATGTGCCTGCGGTCTCTGGAATGGTTGTTGAAATGTTGGAAAACAGCGTTTCTGTTATAGACAATGGCTCCTGTGAACATATAGGCATGGGCGCTAACAACGCAACAGGTACGACGAGAGCTTGCCAAGGTTCATGCCTCGTGGACGGAGGGGAAGAAAGTTCTGGAAGTGACCTAGAAAATGATGCTTGTCAAGATAGAAGAATCCTGACCGAGGCTGATAAAGATCGGGAGTGGCAAATTTTAATTGGTAATGTTAATAATCTACCTCCATCGAAACCTTACAACGTGAATAGTGGTGTTATTGATACTGATAGTGCTAGCGATGTAGAAATTGGTACAAATGAACCCTCGAGTTCTGGCGGTAGTTCTTTATGTACAGTTAAAGATATTAATTTAAGATTTGATATGCTCAAACATGGTGAACTTAAAATGGTTCCCACAGCAGAAGCAACTTCCACTCATTGTAGCAACTTCCCTAAATCTGTAATAACGAGAAGTCAGTCACAACAACGAATGCGATCTCCTCAGAAATGCGATCTTTTACCAAGTCACATGTCTCCTTCTGCCAATGCCGTGTCGTCGAGCGAGTCATACTCGTGCAATGATGACTCGGACGACTCGACGGTATACCTCGCGGCCAGTGCAAGTCCGTCTCGGTGCCATTGTCCCGCCCCCACACCGACCTGGTCTCCAAATCCTTCCCGCGGCAGGACCTTCCCTGGCGAGGGGAGAACTTGTGCCCCTAAGGTGCGTGGAACTCCAGGATCGTCTCTAACTCGTTGGCACAGCGACGATGGACCCAGTGAGCCTGACGATGCCGGTGGAACGTGGCTACGTTCCCGGACTTTGCCTCGCCGGTCCAGCGATTCGACCGTGCCGCACGTCTTGACGTCTCCCACCCCCGGCAACGAGTACGAATTTATCGATGAAATTGAGAGTTCCAGACATGAGAAGCTCAGTGTCTTCAGAAAGCGTCGGTTAGCCGATAAAAAATACGAGTTCACAGACGAAAATTCTGAAAATGTGCCCGCAAATTACCGTAGTTATCGCCGGCAAAGTGACCGCCACGTGGTGGTTCCCACTCCATCAGGCTCGCCTCACGACTACCACACCCGTGCAGCAGCGGCCGCTTCTGCTAGTGCGGAGGCTGCCTCAGCTTCACCGTCCGCGAGCTCTGATACTAACGGGCATTTCAGGAATGTGTACGAACGCCTCTTGAGCCCCTGCAGCGGCATTGCCTCTCCCAACGAAGTCTTGAGGCCCATCAACCCTAACATCTCCAGCCCTCTTCTCTCGCCCAGAGATGACAGATGGAGCTGGGACTGGGAGAGAAGCGAAAAGGTGAGTCTTCGAATAACGCTATCGGAGGCGAGACAGGATGGTTGCCAGAATGCTGACCTGAACTGGTTGGTGGTAAGAATGGTTGGTTAGTGGCTAGCCTTGTGGTTGGTTATACTGTCTGGTGGCTAGACTTGTGGGTCGTTATACTGTTGTGGCTAGACTTGTGGGTGGTTATACTGTCTGGTGGCTAGACTTGTGGGTGTTTATACTGTTTGGTGGCTAGCCTTGTGGCTGGTTATACTGTCTGGTGGCTAAACTTGTGGGTGGTTATACTGTCTGGTGGCTAAACTTGTGGGTGGTTATACTGTCTGGTGGCTAAACTTGTGGGTGGTTATGCTGTCTGGTGACTAGCTTTTTGAGGACTGCACGGTGGCTGAAATTTTTGTCTCATGCCGGAACCGCTCGGAGGCTGAACTGGTCTAGGCCCGGAGCTACTCTCCGCCATAAGTTTAGGACGTTGCATCCCAGGCAGAAGGGCCAGTCATTGAAGTTGAATTGAGTTTTGTTCGCCAAAAATTGAAGACTAAAAAAATGAAACCCATCTCCATACATGAATTTCTGCCAGTCACTAATGATGTGTGGGAGCGACAGAAGTGCGGATGCCTTCTGTGTTGCTGCATTCAACGATTATTGCAGTTCGTGAAAATCCACAGATTATCGTCAAGGCTGAATTAGTTCGGTAGCGTTTGCTGTCTGCCTGGGTATGCTGTCTCTTACACTTCTTGAATTACAATTGGCAATTCACGCCGATCCTTCACGTCCCCAGACGGCGTCCTCTCAGTGGGGGCTGCCCACTTGGGGATCACAGGAGAACTTAACCCTGTTGGGAGTGAGCCCCAACCACCCCGCGTCCCGCACCCCCACTAGCTGGGTACCACCGACTGCCACTGATCCTCAGTCCGCTACTGAAGGGGAAGCGAGCGGCAACTCACAGGTACGTTAGAAGTTCCTGAAGCCTGGTGGTGTCTATCACATTAAACATTGTCTACGTTGTTTGTTTTGCAGCTCACGATCTGCTGTATAATTGTGATGAAATACTTTTACATTCATCACGAACTCGCAGGGATACCTTGACAATACTCGATGCAACGCCCAGAAAAAAAAATCTGTCATTTTGTCCAAATTATCGAATACTTTTGTGCACGCCCATTTGCTAGACCATGTTGGGTAAGGATGACCCACAAAAAAGGCCAAAATTTCGGGTAAAAAAAATCGGTAAAAGTCTCGCTAATCTCAGTGACTGGTATAATAGGCTTTTATTCTGATGAATTCTTATGGAATCATTTGCGATGACGTCTGGTGCCCGGAGAGCGGATGAAATGCCATGGTACTGTATTTATGGTACCAGCTTGAGAACTAACACGCGCAAACTTTCTGTAAGATTTCTTGATTGATGAAATCTGATAGTCTAGCTCCAGTGCACTAAGGTTAAAATCTTGACGTGTAATATCTAAGATCTAATCATTTTATGAGCTGATCTCAACATTAAAAATTGCCCGATTGAGTAATATAAGTATTTGATGCTGATTAACTAACATCTTATACTGATCTTGTACTTTTCTTGTAATTTCACCTACTTATTGTGTCTCGAACGCTTGGTTCAATTTATTCTTTTATATTTGTATGCTACTTTTGGATTTCATCCGCTTCATAACCATATTCATAGCTGTCATTCGGCTATCATTAAGTTAAAAGGAATATTCCCATGTATTTAATTACCTCGGATGTTAAATTAGTTATTTGTGTTTTATGTTACAGGGCTTGAAGTGCGTGGTGGACATCAACAGGTGCTACATCGAAGTGGATGACGAGCTGGTCTCCATCATCACTGACATCGAAGGTATTTGAGCACCGCGTGTATCCTAGTGGCAATCTTATCGACATTCTTTTGAGCACCGCGCGTATCCTATGTGGCAATCTTATGGACATTCTTTTGAGCACCGCGCGTATCCTAGTGGCAATCTTATCTACATTCTTCTGAGCACCGCGCGTATCCTAGTGGCAATCTTATAGCACCGCCCGTATCCTAGTGGCAATCTTATGGACATTCTTTTGAGCACCGCTCGTATCCTAGTGGCAATCTTATGGACATTCTTTTGAGCACCGCTCGTATCCTAGTGGCAATCTTATGGACATTCTTTTGAGCACCGCTCGTTTTAAAGTGTCGATATCTCTACCCACAAGCTGTGAAGCACCGTTCGTTTCCATGTGTCGGTGATTCAATCCACCGGTCTTGCAATAGGCAAGCTTGATATTACCTTACGCCGCTCAGGCCTTGTCTTATTGCTTGGTCATGTTTGACTTCAGACTTACCAACTGCTTATATTATGTGTGCAAACTTGTTTAATTAGAAATAATTATATTCTCTTTGAGAAATGCCATTAAAGGCCTAAAGTAGTTGAAAGGAAATTTTATATTTTGACCATATATCATGTATACACTCCAAAACAAATTCTGGAGAATCGTTGGAAACTCTTATTTATTGACCGTGATTCCATATGATTTTATTCTAAAAATGATGCGATAGAATTATGATATAGGCTAATTATTTATACTCAGTTTATTGTCAAATTTTTGACTTTTTTGTTTGTCCTGCAGACGACGAGCTGAGCAGCTGCACGGGCTACCACAACGCGCTGCCGCTCGAGGTGCACGGCACAGGCTACACGCAGATGCACATGATCTCCGCCCCCACCGCCCAGAAACTCGTGAGACTTTCTGCCTTACCCTGTTGTTTGTTTTGTTTATCTATCACGCCACTCTTGTCTATGACACGTCTCCTATTTATGACACCACTCCTATCTATGCCACCACTCCTATCTGCGCCACCACTCCTATCTGCGCCACCACTCCTATCTATACCACCACTCCACTCCTGTTTATGTCACCACTCCACTCCTATCTATGCCACCTGTTCTATCCTTCGCTTCTGGAACCGTCTCACTACATCAGATGTGACCACCTTAAACTAGTCTATTATTTATAGTGAGTACTCGACGCTTCTGTTAGGTAGATAGCGATAACTATTTGGAGGCTCACTCACTATATTACCGTGTGCTAAACTACATTTATTTACGTGTTAACCTCCCGTCATTAGGAAAAACATAAATACACTTCTATAAATTACCCTGCCCGTGGCTGTGTGCTACATTCAGGAACAGTGTCTAATCTATGCCACTGTTTTTCCGCGCGTCATGTCATAAATTAAAACATTTGCCCGACTTTATTGCAGTCGATGCCATGTGTGAAGGTGCGCCAGCTGAGCTTGGACGTGGAGCAGTTCTGCCACGACACGGCGCACCAACTCTGCCGCGTCGCGGGCAAGCGTTACTCAAGCTGCAGCGACTATAACGTCGAGATTGTTGATGTAAGTCAACTCCTATTTTATGTAGTTATTTCATCATTTTATTTTGCTATTCTTCGTTCTTTTCCTAGCATAGTTTTTTGTATCAATACTAGATTTTTGTATCAATGCTTTACTAGAAGAAAAAAATCAATTCTGCTGATATTGGTAAACGTTTACAATGATGGTTTGGACGATTTTTCTTCGTGAAAATACGGTGTTTAAGTCTTAGCTGTTGCTTCTTGTCCCAACCCTATTGACTACAGGTTTTAGCATCATGCTACGACCTCGAGTGTGGTACGTTTTTGCTAGACAAATGATGAAATTATGCCTGACTTTTTTGCATCTTTGTTGTAGCTTTACGGATGAAAAAAAAAGAACAATTAAATGATTCCCCGCTAAAGTTCCTCGAAATTCGCACAGCGAAAACATCGTTTCTCTATAATGGTAGCGATATTAACAGTGCAGCGGTGAGACAATACGCTCATGGTGCCTGACAGCCACGAAAGAGATCGCCATTTAAATCTTTCTCGGGAAAATTTGTATCGTGCTGACTTCAATGTATGATAGTCGCCAGAGCTTGCCACCACACGTGCCGTAGTGCAATGCAAGAGGAAAATAATAAGTGAATAAGAATCAAATTACATATTTGAAAATCACCCTGTAATGATCTTCCGTGCCGAGGTTCAATAAAGATCTCTCAATTAACACAATTATTTTAATTTAAACGAAAAGGGAACACTTAATTTACGAACATGTGAACAAAGTTAACGTGAACATAGGTTTAGAGCATAGTTTCAGGGCACCGAACTGATTCTTCTATCATATGCTAGGGCATAGCACTGAACATATAGTTCCACATAACACAGAATTAGAGTTCGATATGCAGGAACCCTGAGTCTTCCAAGTATACCAGCTTCTCGTAATCTTCTTTCCTGGTTGACTTCTCCCTACATGAACTAAATTAAATTTACAATTAGTCGTGTAATTAGATATCTCGCATAGTATCAACACACCAAATAAATACAATATTGATAAATATCGACAGTTGCACATACCTCTGCAGTTGTCTGAATTCACTAAACTAGTCCTTGCTTTGGTCCCACAACAAGTCTGCTCTGAATTCTTACGCTGCTACGGGATCGTCAACACCATAACTTATTCTACGTCCCGCACATTAGTTACTATTGTTCTTGTACTCCCTGTGTTTCCCACAGTACACCTGAATATTCAGCTAAGATCCCTACATACCCACTACCTACCTTTTTTACGTTTGTCTCACTAACATTCATGAATTTCGAATAATCAAATAAAATTCATTTCTTCCGTGCACACAATGTCGTCTCACTAAAGTAACGTTGGTCTATAATTTATAAATTTCTAATGAAATTTACGTTATGTTTTCGTTTCTTTTTACGTTTCTTCTTCTACTTCTTTTTTACGTTTGTCTCACTGACATTCATGAATTTCCAATAACCGATTTAAACTCATTTCTTCCCCACACACAATATTGCAGGTGTGTTCAGAGACGGGCAACATTGTGGCGGTGGCGTCCGTGTTGGTGCAGGCCGACAACCTCCCCGTGCCTCACCCTCTCAGCCCCCACAAGACTCGCAGTGCCAAGCGCCCCACGCAGAGCCCCAGCAGGCTGGACCCTGCACCCTCCACCAAAACACGGAAGCTCTTCAAGGCTTCCTCCACTTTCGTCTTCAATATCAACACCAAGCAGTACAAAGTGCTCGATCAACAGCCCTTAAAAGAGGAACATCCTTTCCAGTGAGACTTCAAAATATTCATTGGATAATTTTGTTGCTTTTGCATTATATTCAGCCTGAAGCATTCTGCTCTTAAGCTTTAATGCGTTGTAATCTCGCAAATGACAAAGATGCAGCACTAATTCTTGCTTCCTGCGTATGCAAGAGGCGCTTTTGTGGTGATACGATAATGAAAGTGAAAAATTGCATATATTTTATCCGATTGTGATATATTTTGTTATGAAATTCCTTAGTGCTGCAGTAATTTTTGAAGGTAGCCACCAAGTCACTGTTTGAATTTGTACTTGTGCAGCTGTTATTGTAGTGCAATTCCGACATGTTTGTAATTCTCTTCCTTAACCGGGTTTCTCTCATATGGAACATGTTATAATTTCCCTTCTTTCATTTTTCCTAAATTTTGAGCATGTTTTTAATTTCATTCATATCAACCGGTTTTTATTACAGATGCAAACCCATTTCAATTTCCTTGCTTTTGAAGATGTTTGAACTTCAATAATCTAGCAATTGATTTCATTTCTCTCTATTCAGAATAGTGTAATTTAAAGTACTTTAACTTAATTTTGTTTTATCTGTTGTGAATCTTTATCTATTTTTCTATAGAAACCTGTTTAATTTCCTCAATCTGCTCGTGTTTTACTGTCTCTCGCTCTGATCGTGTTTTGGTTTCCCATGTTCTGGACCTCGTATTCCGAAAGTGTTGTAGTCCCATTTCTTGTATACTGTTCTGATCTTAATTTCCACTTTCGTGACTAAGACTAAGTACTAAGCCGTCTTAATCGTGTTGGTATGTATGGCAGCTTGACGTGCCACGAAGTTTGCAGCAGCGCGTGTGAGGACCGCTGGTGGTGGCAGTCAGGCGGCAAACTGGCGAGACAGCTGAGAGCCTTGGCCACCCACCCCACTTCTTACTACGGCAGCGTTAAAGTCCTCACCAACCAGCCCTTCATCAGAGGTAATGTCACCTGCAGCACCTCCCCACCAGCCAGCCCTTCATCAGAGGTAATGTCACCTGCAGCACCTCCCCACCAGCCAGCCCTTCATCAGAGGTAATGTCACCTGCAGCACCTAATTATACAGTAGCGTCAGGTTGTTCACCAACCAGCCTTTTATCAGATGTGATACTTCCTCAAATGTTTTTTGTATATACTGTATTTCCGCCTGGTCTCGGAGGGGATTAACGTCTAGTTAACAATAGAAGATAATAGAATTTATATCACTTGTTTGCTTAAATCGCAAATTACCTAAGAATTTAAAAGCAAAGAAAAGTCCACAAAAATTCATATCTTTATAGAAAACGTTTCGGAGACCAGCTCCGTCGTCAGCTCGTAGAATCTAGAATCACAAATCAGAAGTCACAAATTAATACATTGAAAGTACAGATCGAAATTAAAACCCTAAATTTACAAGTAATAGACGGAGCAAAAAAAAAATAAAAAGAACTATCTATTAACAATTTCAAGGGGATAGGAGCTAGCAGCTGAATTCAAACTGGGCCTAAGTTTAAAGATGTACAGTGATTCTAAAATGCGCAAATCGGAAGTACCGGAGGTGGAAGCTAACACCCTAAAGTCACTGTCAGAAATGGGGACATCACACTGCTCGGCGTGAGCGCGCACAGCCGAATGAGGGGGGCGCGATAGCAACTGTCCGGTTCTACAACTCCTGCCCTTATGCTCAGAGACCCTGGAATAAAGATTGCGTGACGTCATCCCGACGTACGCAGATGCACATCGTGCACTATGATCGTGTTTTTTCACAGATGCACATCGTGCACTGCGTACGTCGGGATGACGTCACGCAATCTTTATTCCAGGGTCTCTGAGCATAAGGGCAGGAATTGTAGAACCGGACAGTTCTACAACTCCTGCCCTTATGCTCAGAGACCCACGAAACGTTTTCTATAAAGATTTGAATTTTTGTGGACTTTTCTTTGCTTTTAAATTCATAGTTAAGATAATAGAAGTGTTGGCACTGAAGAAATAGGCCTGTTGCCGATTCTTGTACTTTTCGTGACTTGATTCACAAGGGATCCGGCCTTTGGAACCCGATCTTTCCATAACTGACGATTGATTGAGATAGCTGCTGGACTTTTTGCCTGGTCCGTTAGGTGCTAGGCATTTCAAGACTGAAGATATACTCCTGCATAGCTTCGTCTAGGCTGTTCTTGAAGGCGTTCATACTCGGAGCATCAACGATGCTATCAGGGAGGCTGTTCCACATGTCGGTGACTCGAAGTGAGAAGAAATGTTGTCGCATGGATGTGTTAAAACGCAGTTTTTTTTTTAGTTTATAACCGTAGCCTCTGGTACAATGCAGCTTTTTATTGCGGTCAAACTTATTGAGTGGATTCATTAATCTATATTGTTGTGATGTCGATTGGTCTCAATCAGTGCTCGTTTTATTTTGTTTGTTATCTTATTCATGTACCTTATTCTTAACGTGCAGGGAAGTCGTTGAGCCACATCATGGAAGGACAGCACCTCATGGCCGTCGTGTTGGGCCCCATTCCTGGCCCTGAGTCTTAGTCGTGTGCTCCTCACTACAGCTGCTGATCATGTCCGACAATCTTGAAACTAGAATGTTTTGTTATTCGATTTTTACCATTTGAGACTGGGAACCACTTAGATGCACGGCTTTATTTCTACAGTTTTGATTGCTATTGAAAATTTCGCGATCTCTCTTTGTTTTTCAGTTCCGAATCTTGAAGAGTTAATGGTTACTGTTCAGTATTAATTTCCACTTTTTGACATTCTTCTATACATACAAGTTTGAGCTTGGTTACACAAATATAAGTTGTGAAATTTTATGGGTTTAAAAACCAATTTCAAATTATTTTGCAGGCGATCCTTCAAAATGCCTTCTTAATTTTTTTTCGTAAGTTCCCGTAAAGTCAAGTGGCAATTCAGATAGCTGGCTGAGCGCTAGATTAATTTTTTCTGCATGACACGAATCATCCAACTCTCATTGGGTTCAAGATTCTTCATTTATTATCGGTTAAACTGTTGAAAAGACTTGGTATAAATTTTCAGAGGAGTAATCTTAGTTTTCATTTCATAACTAGATTTGATCAAGTTTGATTTTTCACTACCTGCCTAAAGCAGCATCATTCATGGTATTTTATTTATGTATTTATTGACGTTATTTCCATTTTTTTAAGACTGTGCCGAAAGGGTCACTCATTCGTTTTCATTGTTGAAATTTGTTATTGTGTGGTGAGACTTTGACACATGCCATTCAATGTGACAATTTTATTTACTTCGAAGGAATAGAATACTACTACGTTTTTGGCATTCCATGCAACATAATGTTGTAATGTTCGTTTTGTTCTATGTCTTATGTTGAACGGTCGTAGAATATTTGGAATTCGGTGTTGTGATTTATCGCTTCTGTCATATAGTTACCGCCGATTGTATCTGCCGTTTAAATGTTCCTCAACACAAACTTTTGCCAATCAATAATTAATGAAGCGTCGCCGTTAGTACTAATTCTTGCCGCTCATTATACATAATTACCATACCGTACTCAAACTACTTCTCACGTTGAGCCTGCTGTTCATTTTTTTCTGACATGATTTGAGTCGTTATTTCCATTACGATTGTGAACGAAATTTTCTGTCCCTCCCTCCAATTACTTTTTATGAGTCTGATGTAGCACCATTTATATACTTTCATCTTAGACTCTTCGTGGTTAATTACGCCCAAAGCTTTCATGGTATACTGTCTCACAGTTTAAGAATTATTTATATCAGGCCTTGATAACATGTATCTTATTTCTTGTAATATTGACTTATTATTTAAATGGGTTTTATCAATTGTTTCCATAGTAATTAGTAGCATTTTCAATATTGATTCGATGAATGACCAATGAATGTGATGTTTGGAACCCTTGCCGAATGCGCAAGAGTGTCTGCTCAATCTATAATTAAAGTAATACTCTAATGACCTATTATACCTATTTGACATCCGAGTCAACATCTGCTATGAAAACTACGACTATTAACGATATATTTTTTCCTTTTAGTGGAGTTTTTTCTATGCCAACTGTATATATCAGAGGGTACGTTTAGCTCATGGAAATGATGGAACTTGTAATATTTTTATATTGGTTATTTGGTTACCTATCCATTTTGAACCTTGACAATGAATTATCGAGTCGATTATTATTATTTTATCATTCCGTAGTAGAAGGTGTCATAATTAGTATTAAAGCTTCCGTCAGTTAACTTTTGAAGCTGAAGCTCAAAAATTTCCTTCCTTCTATGTAGGTATTTTTCGACGTGTACGCCTTCTAGTCACTAGTTATTTTGCGTTAAAATCTACGTTATTATATATTCATGTATTCTTCCTTTTTTTTACCTTTTAACACCCCAGTAGCCAGTAGCATGGTTGAACCATGACCAGTAGGAAGATCATTCAGCCCAGTTTCTGTTAACTCTTGTCTTGGTAATGGTGACTATTTATTAATCGGTAACTCAATATTGTTGGAATTACCGATGCCAGATTGCCAATTGCTGTATCACCTCCAACACTCGTCTTCAATTGAAGTAACTAAAATTTTTTTGCCTTAGTATGGATTATATCTTATATAATTTATAAGAGGCATTTCTAGGTTGTTTATAACAAAATATAATAATATGGTGTCCGATTTTTTAACGGCCTCCAGATTCACTAGCTTGAATGATGCATGCGGCACACCGTTAGCGTAATTAGTCTTTAATATACAAGTAAATAATAAATATTAACAATACTACTTTTTATATTCGAATTGTTTTAGAATATTCGTATTTAAAGTATAAAAACAACAAATTTCAACTTTTTTAAAAGTACAGCTCTGAACGAAAAATTCGAGTACTGAGCTTCACGTAGCCACTAGACAATAGTGCAGTTGTGCGTTGTTTCCAGTTATCTCAATTTAATTATTGTATCTGACAAGAAGATATTCCGATCGCGTAAGTATAAAGTTTTATAAGGATGATATCTATGAAAGTTCTAATATTATTTGATATTATTTACCTAGTTTTATATAACATGTCGATGAAATTTTATAGGTGTTGGCGTATGCTCGTTATGGCGGTGCTAGGTGACCTCTTTCTGGTCGCAACAGTTCGCCAGAAATTGACGTCGAAAAACAACTTCTGTGCATGTTGTTACTGACAATGATTTTCAATACTAGGTTGGAGGTTGATGTTGCGTATAACGTTGTTTGTCCATGCTAATGTTATTGTTTATCTCTTAATCTTATTATTCATAACCTACAAGGCTCATCATGCTCGTGCATAATTACGAGTCGATAAAGACTATTATAAAACTTTTTAATAGTTGTTACTCGTGTCGTTCTCTGCCAATGTTTGACTACAAATTTCCTGTGTGGTAAGTCTAGGCGTATTTAAACTCTAAACATCTTTACATTTTTCATGATAATTTTTGGCTTTGCTTCTGGACGTCGCACGATCATTGAAATTTTGCGCTTGCTGTGGGATAGTATTTATTAGCTAGCTACATGCAGAAATTTTTTAGACCCTTAGTTCATTTTTAAGTGATAGTAGTAAAGTATATGCAGCACTGCAGCAGTAAATCATCATGGCATGAACACATGATGGTCTGTCAGACAGGATAGATACATTCATTGATTTCATTCATTTATCATTATCATATGTAGGTAGTACTGTAATATACATAGGTTTTAGTTTAAATATTAAGGAAATGAAGAAACTAAAAATGAACTGATAGCCTGATCCTTAAAAATCAATTCATGGGTGAGTTTCATAGATTGTGAGCACTGAGCAGATATGTGCAATTTATCCATAATTTACATTAGGATTAGCCGTTTAGGAAAAGGTAGGGTAAACGCGGTATATTCTGACACATTAAGGATGCATCGAGAAATGAAAAACTATAAAAAAATAACCGTATGCATTACTCGAGTTCTGTTTGCTTTATGTGACTCGCAAAACACCATACTATGTGCCAGCAACAATGAAGCGTCACAAAATGTTGCCATATTTATTTAAAAACCTTTAGAATGCAAACCTACCAAATCCCTATAATCCGACACTGTGTGTGGCAATATTCGGCACGTGGTGAGGCGTATTCCGTCCGCGCTTCAAATTCTACTGATACGTAATGCCGTCATCCACGTGTTCAAATTCCTTTCGCTGTGTGAGGCTGTGAGCTGTATTGGAATACAACACGGCTTTGAATTAGAACACTAATGAATATTGAACACTACTTAATTACGCTTTTAATTAACAACTATTAAGATTTTAATTAACCCTTTCGCGGGCAAGTTTCCATATATGGTAATTAAAATGAGAGTAAAAAAAAGCCCCCCACATCACCCATATTGCTTGGGGCAGCCTGCCAACAAGCTCCAACCAATCACAGATCGTGTACAAGTTATGTCATGTATGACGTAGCGCTCTGACGCGCTCTTTTGTCTGTGTGAGCTAAATTAAAAACTTGAAGAAATGGCAAAATGGCATTTTGGGCCCTCATCGTATTCACTTTAGCAGCTCTAGCCCATGAAGAACTGTAGGAAAGGCCGTGATAGTTGCTATTATCATAGTTAAAAACTTGCTTTATCAACTGATTATGATGCCATTTCCTTTAAGTAAATGCAAGATGGTGAAATATAATGGCAAAATTTAGTGTGATCATATATGAGCATACGCCTGCAAATGCTTAGAGATGGAAGTGACTATGTTTGGTCATATGCCCACTAAAGGTAAATTTTTACAGCGCTTGGTAAATATGTTTGTTGGCATTTAGTGGTTAGCGGTATTATGACTTAAGCCATGTTTTTCAGTCTAACGTACCTACTACCTATAGTTCAGCACTTGATGCTTTCCCTGACTTTGACTGCAGTCCAAGCTCATGGCATTCCCTTTGTTACAGAACATAGAGCCAACGCAGTTGCAAGCAAGATGGTCTCTGTACTGACCCAGACAATAACATGTCTTTCACCAATACTAATTCTTACTGACAATTAATTCGCAAGTTTTAGGTACCGTAAAATGGTGTAACTTAGACCACTTTTTTTTTTAGAAATGATGCCATTTTTTTACTAGCTTAAATTAAACTTGAATTGAAACGTGCAAAATACAGGTCTATACTCTAGCTTCACTCACCATAAATTGCTGGCTCCTGCCTCTCATAGTCTTTATGTAATTTCAAAAAAAGTGATGGTCTTTGTTACCCCAGCTCCTGGGGTAACTTAGACCGGGTGGTAAAATCAATTATATTTTTTGGTAAAATAACTCCCAAATAACTCCAGGTTGTGGTGCATTGTAGTAGAACTCTTCTAGTTACATATGCAAATGACAAATTTGAGGAATGTGTCATAGTTTGCAAATGGGGGGCACCGCCCCATAATGAGGGAAATGTGACTACCTAATGGCAGCCCTGATGGGGTAATATTGACTGGCTTGGAAAATAAGTTAAAATTACCATATATAAGACTCTGTAGAGTCTGAAAGATGGCCAAGACCTAGTGTTTTGGCAGTAGTTTGACGCGCAAATGTATGACGTCACCATTTCAACCATCAACAAACGCATGGAACTAAAACAAATCTTAATATAAAGGAAAAACTAGAGAGGTGACGGAATTACCCACGATGTCGGAATATACCGCATTTACCCTAAATACTAATAGGATTGGTAAAAAATTACTAATGCATTGGATGGGCTTTTTTGTCTTGTTCATGGGTAGTTTCTGCCCAATTTTCTATTTTGGTCATGATTAGGAAAAGAAATGGAAAATATTTACATATAATTTGAGCTAAAACTGGATATTTGGTGCTATGACTTTCCCAAATTAACTAAAAAAGGCCAATTAAGATACTTTTAAGTCATTTAAATTTATAGAGTCTAAATTGGAATTTCTCGCTTATTACTAAAATCGTGGGGCTCCAGAGTGGCATATTTAGTTTTTGTATCTAGTGCCTTGATTGTGTATTTTGTCTAAAATTAGATAGGAAATAATTAATTTTATTACAGGAATTTTGCTGCTTCAAAAACAGTAGGAATATGCAGTGCAGCAGTAGGATCAGACAGCAAATATATTCCACACCTGGTTTAAGTTAAGGGGAGCGTCTACCCTAAAATTGAAAATTTTCACTTTTTTGGTTTTCATACTAATTTTAAAGCTGACATTCTGCCCTATCCAACGGTACCACCTGTCTCTTATACACATCTAGATGTGTATAAGAGACAGGGATAGATACATTCATTGATTTCATTCATTTATCATTATCATATGTAGGTAGTACTGTAATATACATAGGTTTTAGTTTAAATATTAAGGAAATGAAGAAACTAAAAATGAACTGATAGTCTGATCCTTAAAAATCAATTCATGGGTGAGTTTCATAGATTGTGAGCACTGAGCAGATATGTGCAATTTATCCATAATTTACATTAGGATTAGCNGAAGCTAGAGTATAGACCTGTATTTTGCATGTTTCAATTCAAGTTTAATTTAGCTAGTAAAAAAATGGCATCATTTATAAAAAAAGTGGTCTAAGTTACCCCATTTTACGGTATGGTCTTTACGCATCATATGAGATGTGTTTCAATGTTGTAGATCTGAAACCCTAGGAGGAGTAGGATTTCTACGGTACCCCCTTTTATGGCCGTTTTCTAAGAATTTCACATTTTCTTTCATTTTTTTCAAAAAATTCACGTGAACAAAAAAGTCTTAGATTTCTGTTTTACATATGTGTACCAAATTTCAATGTGATCTGTCTGTAAATAGCCAAGATAAATTTTAGGGTAGACGCTCCCCTTAAAAAGACTGTGACTTCATTGCTGTATTGGCATTTGGCAAGCTGTGTGACATGAATGTTGCTATTACTGTTGCTATGAGAATGTGAACAAAATTTAACACAGTAATTTTGGGCACAAGCATTTTACTGAACTGTACACAGTTATACATTTTTTTGTGTCATATTTCTGAGCTGCACAATTTCTGGTCAAACTAAAATACATGACTTGGGAGCAAGAAGATCACCAATTCACTGATGTTGTTATTCTGGAGCCTTGCCATTTAGAATAATGGAGTTTTTTTGGATGGAGATGATACATGCTAACATATACACCCCTCGCAGAGACACATGCCTACCATACCATCATAACCTAGACCAACACATCACTGACTTTTTCACATACCTCCTCTATAATCCTTACACCATTATTACAGGAGACATAAATGCTCACCACCCATCCTGGTACTCTCCCAACTCATACCATAAGAGGCAACTTCGTCAACTCGTACAAAACTCCAACCACATCATTCTCAATGAAAACTTGCCCACACGCATACCCACTACAATAGAACAGCAACCCACGTCACCAGACATCTACAGCCTCAAATATCTCAAGCAAGATAACATGGTCAATTATCACAGCTCTCAGTTCTGATCATGTTCCTATCATATTGCACTTTCGTACCAAAACTAACTACCACATAAAAACCTAAAACAGATCTTTCATAAATTACCACAAAGCAGACTGGACAGCTTACTCGCAGGAAATTGACCAAGCACTCCATGACACTCCAGCACCCACCAATATTCACATTGCCAATAAAATACTCACTGGACTCGCTACAAGCAGACAATCACCACATAACCAAAGGAAATTGAAAACATAACAGACACCTCTACCCTAGGCCATCAAAGACAAAATACAATGCAACCACATCAGGAAACAAAACAGACATGACCCATCTATCCAACAACTCAACAGAGACATAGACCTTGAAATAAGCACTTACAAGTGCTTATTTCAAGCATACAACAAAACTATACAAAGCATACAACAGCATACACCAACACAATTCAACCAGCAGTTCATAAACGCCAAACTGCACCAAACCTCACACAATAACAGGATAACAGATAGAAGAATTAAATCACTAAAGGATAACCCAATAAATTTAACAACAGCCATGACCACACTCGCCATAAAAAACAGTAAAAATAACAAATCAACTGGACCAGACCATGTCAACATACTCCATCTCAAACACCTAAGCCCCAGCAATTACATACCTCACTCAAATATACAAAATCGCAATAAACTCCTATACAATACCCCATACCTGGAAGTTAGCCAAGATAATTCCAATACCTAAACCTGGCAAAGACACTAACACAGGGTCCTCCTATAGACCAATTTCTCTTCTAAGTCCAATAGCCAAAACACTGGAAAAAATTATCCTTGACACAATCTCACCTCATCTCCCTAACATTGAACACCAACATGGCTTCAAGCAATACCACTCCACCACCATAGCACTCCAACACATCACAGAACACATTGCCACAGGTTTTAACAAAAAAAAAATGCCACTTTGAACAATAGCAATAGCATTAGACATGAGCAAACCATTTGATATTGTTAACCTGCACACCACACTTAAATACATAGCAAATTACATAAAAAGCAGAAAAGGCTTCACACAAGCCAATGATATCAATTCAAAACGGGCATGTACCACAAGGCGGAGTCCTATCACCCACATTGTTCAACATATACATCTCAGATATACCCTCACCTCCACCCAACATTAAAATAATTACATATGCAGATGACATCACAATCTTATCCTCCCACAAAGACTATAACACTGCTGCACTAACCTTCTACCATACCTACAAACCATACACACATGTACCACTGTAAACCAACTACAATGCAATGGCACAAAATGCACTGCCACTCTCTTCACACCTGACCTGGCTGAATACAGCACAGAACTCAATCTCAATATCAATAATACTCATTTCAACAGTACGCAACCCTAAAATACTAGGACTCACCTTTGACACAAAGCTCACCTTCAGCACACACATTAGTAATACTCACAACAAAGCCAATAATACCATCAAAATAATCAAATGACTTACAGCCACACAATGGGGAAAACAAAAAGAACTACTCACAACCATATTTCAAACAATCATGTGTCCAATCATCGAATATGCAAACTCATCCTGGTCACCAATCATATCACCTATGCACATGAACAAACTTAACTGTCCAGAACGCAGCACTCAGGAGTCAGGATAGCCACAGGCTGTACCGCAGACACCAACATCCATCATCTTCACCAAGAAACCAAACTCCTATCCCTAACACAACATCTCAAACTTCAGCCCTCACAACTCAGACAGAAAGCACAAAACCCAACCCACCCACTACATGCCCTCACCCTTCAGCCTCACCCACACCATCTCATGAAACAAACCCTTTTCCCTAACTCAGGTTTCACCACCAACATAGATTCTCTGCCTGCACAAGCTACATAGGACACAATAAAACAAAATCTCAAAACAATCCACACTACTATCACAGAAAACTAACTTGCAACCCTCCCTCACAATAAAATTTTAAGCATCCCCGCACCACAGATCCACCCATCTGAAAGCAACCTACCTAGACCTGCATGCAGGAACCTTGCCCAACTTTGAACAAACAAATCACCGCTACTTCCCTCATATCTAAATAACATAGAGCCTGCCACACACCTTTCTCCACTTTGCCCACTCTGTCTATCCAACATGCACGACACCAATCATCTTTTCTCCAGCCCTGAAATGTCCACATCCCTGTCGGTGGGTGACCTTTGGGCAGACCCCGTAAATGCCCGCTGGGGTGACCGACTTGGCTGGCTCCAGAACTGGGTTTGGATGTCTAGTACCTACTTTTCTACTTCTATAATCCATACAATACCAAAAAGAAATAATTTTCATCATATTGGAATAGGATAACATCCTTTATCTATTACTTTTTCTTTTATGTATGCACTCATTATTTCAGGCTTCAACTACCAAGATTCTTATGATTTGATTGTACAACATTCATATATGTTTTTGAAAGCATTATTGTCAATTCTCTATCAGATTTTTTACCAGTTGACAGTCTGGCTCATGAAAATTTTAATGAGCTTTTTTAAAAAGCTAAATTTTTTAAGCATGTGCCATACATGATGTATGTTGCAATTTGGGACATGCACACATGTACCATATATGGTGCACATCTCAGTCAAAGTGTCAAGCACATGTGGATTTTTTCAATTTCCAATAATTTAGCTTCCTAACAAAAACCAGTGGTGTTGCTAACCTAGCAATTTTTGAGTAGTATCTACTACACTAGTAGTACTCAAGAGGTTTGGTACAAATTTCACACTGCTATGTATAATTATTCTAAAGATATTGGGAAAACAGTGATAAATGTTTTTCTTAGTCTGAGACTATACTGTACTTTGATGACCAGGCCACTCTGCATGCTTGTTCTTTAAGCTGGGACTAATTTCCTGTTATATTAATTAACAGTCATGATGGATAATAATGGCCAAAATTGCAACCAAGGAAGGGAATATTCTCTTGGTTCAGCCTAGATGTTTTCAAAGTTATTAAATTAAAATCATGATATATTTCTCTTCATAGTTCTTACTCTGCTCAATTGACTCATTGGTAAGTTTTTCAAATGAAGTGCTGTTAATTGTTTTCTTAATTAGCTTGTCAATAATAGAGGAAAAAGTAAAGTGATTTGTTAACTTGGATTGATTATGATTTGTATGTAAATAATCTGTAACTTAATATGTATGTATAATATGTATAATATATGTGTTCAATCAGAAAAGCATTGCCATCCTCAGTGTTGCACCTTATGAATTAACCTTAACCTCAGCATAGCTAAACACTGGCAATTACCAAAGAAATTACATATCTTGACATTCAACCAATTAAAATGAATGAATTTTGTCCATATTATGTTGTATACAAATCTATATTTTATGCTGAAATGCTCAATTGTTATATACCCAATTTTTATTGACCTCATGACCAGTGTGCACTGCCAAAGTAATATTATCTGTGTACTAGTCTGTGCATGTGTTCTACAGTGCAGATTAAACTTGCTCTGATCGTCTCGGGATGCCTACAGAGCCACAGTGTGATGTGGTGATGAAGGTATGTTGAATTGTCATTAGCCCTTGAAGGGGCTTTTTTATGAATTATCTGAAATAAAATATATGGAATAATACTTTGGCAGTGCATGTTTAATGCAGAACTTCTCATACTTTTTACTTTTTTTCAGGTGAAAGTGGACACCAATTTGGGTGTCACTTCATGCCATGGATCCGGAAACAGGAGCTGTGAGTGCAGGTGGAAGTGGGGAGCTAATATGGTGCAACTACCCAACAGAGGCTGGCCCTGTACAAATTGAGATTGGGTCGGATATTGCAAGGCAAATAAATGATCAAGTGCAAGTTCAGTACACTGTCAACAGCCAAGGGCAAGTTGTTTTGCATGCTCTTCAACCAGTGCCCATGCAACAGCAGCTCAATAATGTGAATTCTGTCTTGGAAGGAGGAACCCCCACTAATACTGCCATTACTGCTGTTGTATGTCAAACTCCTAGTGCCACCAGAGAACAAATACTTCAAGATACCAATGTAGTTTTAAAACCAGAAAATAAACTGAAAATTCCTGCTGGATCTGAACGGATTAACTGTGACCAATGTGAAAAAACCTTTTCATGTGTTGCTAATCTGAGGGATCATGTACGTCTACATACTGGAGAGAAGCCTTTCAAATGCTCTGAGTGTGACATGGTTTTTGCTCAAAGATCAAATTGGCGGCTTCACAAGAGAGTTCATACAGGGGAAAGACCATACATGTGTGGGCTGTGTGGTCGTACATTTGCTCGCAGTTCTCATCTTCCTGGTCATATGAGAACACACACAGGAGAGAAGCCTTTCAAATGCAATCTATGCTCAACTAGTTTTTTATCTTCACAAGCTCTGAAGAATCACATTCGCACTCACACAGGAGAAAAGCCTTATGTGTGCATAAATTGTGACACGGCTTTCACTCACAGCTCGTCACTTTCCTCGCATAAAAAAAGGTGCAATGGGATCAAAAGGAAACGTGGTCGACCTGTTGGAACTGGTAGATGTAGTATTAAGAAAAAGGTACCTTCAGGACGTCCCAGAGGACGACCAAAGAAGAAAATAAGATCTGGGAGGGGCAGGAAAAAACTAAACGTGAATCTTGCAGAGGATTCTCATAACCTTTCTACCGATATTAAAATGCCCATAAAGTGTGAGGAAGGTTTTTCTGGACCAATGGTGGAATTTAGACCTTCAGGTGAAGAATCAGAAGAAAGGGCACCTAATGTTCCAGAGAGTGATACATGCCGGATAAAAATAGTGAGTGTTCATGGCGGAGTCACTGCATCAATTGTTAGAAATTCCTGCGGTATTGGCACAGACACTCAAAAGAATGCTTTGAGGGAAAGTGTTCGTCTTCGTATCAAACACCAAAAAAAATTAACAAAAAGGCATTCATTATTGACTGATGATTATTCAGAAAATGTTGGTAATCCACCTTTGGTGAAGCCAGTAGCAGATCTGTTGAGCCATGAACCTGAAAATTCTCTTGTGTCAGATGATATAATCACTTGTAGAAGCAGTTATTTCCAACCCGCTAATGTGACTTTAAGTTCATCTAGCCAAACACAGGCGGCGCCTTATGTTTCATCCTGTGTACAAACAGGTGGAAATCAGCAGGCAGTTTCACAGATAAATATTTCTAGTCAATTGGGAGCTTATTGTTTGGCATCTGCAGTCAATTCCACCCCGACTGGTGTTCCTGTCAGAACCGAGCCCGCTCTTGCCATGACATCACTGCAGTGCACTGCTCCTAACCTCACACCGCAACCAAGCATCTTTAGCTCATCTCCCTCACCTTCCTATTCTCCTCTCAAGCAAATGGTTATTTCATATCCTAGGGGAATCCACACAACTGCTTCTTCTGTTGTTCCTCACGATGCAACTCCTCATAGCCATTCAGATGCTGGAATACCTATTCTGCATGTCAACTCGTCAGCTCCTGTGCCTGTAGTCAAGGACATGGGCGCACAGCAACAGCTTCAGGAATATATTACCTATTTAAATGGAAATGAAGTTCATGTTTCTATACCTACTGGAAGGGAAGGTATATCGGAGCAGAGTTCTACTGGATGAATTTTTAAAATTTGTGCTATGCTTCCAAATTAATTGATCAAGCAACTTGCTTTGTGTAAAAGTTGTTGAACAGTAGTATAAGGTTCGTTCTGTTTAAAAGTAAATTCAACTTTCTAAGCTTAACCTTCATTATTTAAAACGTTTTAATTTTTTATTCCATCAAATAATTCAGCAAATTGTTTGCCATTACGCATGCCTGCGTATAGGTACCGGTACCTTCAGGTGCTTTTTAAAATTTTCTCTTGCAGAAAGAACTTGCATTAATTGAAATGTATTTATTTAGCGTATTTGGTGAGCTACTCTTTGAGCTACTATGGTTTGAGCTAAGCAACCGTGAAAAATGTTTTCTGAAAAAATATTTTTTTGGCCAATTCAATAATTTTTATTTGTTGGTTGGTTATCTGGTCCATCACTCAAAAAACCACATAAATAAACATGATTTGCGCATTTAGGTTATGTTGATGCATTAATTTACTACATGAGTGGTGGGCAAACGTTTTTCAGCCGTGCTCAGGTATTGCAAGCCAGATGGAAAATGTAAACAGAAGCTCAGTCCTTGGTGTTGTGCCTGAGTTATTCCAATTAGGATTCCAGGCTGGCAAGGTACAGGGTGATTCATGGAAACTTAATGTTCTGTATTTCGCGCCAAGCAGCCAGATGTCGCGGGAAGTAACTATTTCATATGAAACGCAAGACCATAAAATTTCGAATCCCGCCTAGTCAGTTACCACTAAGCCTTGGACAAGTGAGCAGCGTGCGCATTTGCTGTCGAGGCGTACTTTTCTAATGGTCATTTAGCAGAGTTGTCTCCGTCTGAGGCAATATTTTGCAGAGCGTCTCATCTTCTTGAGAGGTGACCTTTGGCTGGCTCGATCTCCCGATTTTGCTCTGCGTGATTTTTTTATGGGGTTATCTTTAATCAATTGTTGACAATGACCGTCCAAGGACCCTACCACATTTGAAGGATAACATACGCCAAACCATCGCCAACACACCCAGCAATTTGCTTCAGCAAGTTAAACGGAACTTCAGAAATCGACTAACTGAATGCATTGAGAAGGGGGGCCGTCATTTGTCCGATGTCATCCTTGAAACTAAGTGATATAAAAAATTTGGTAATGCATTTTTCAATAAAATTTATATTGTCATGATATCTTTACTAACTTCTTTTTTTACTGAGCTTTCTAAGTTGCCGTGAATCACCCTGTATATGAGTAAGGAGTGTTTGGTTCAATCTTAATAAATAACACCAACGCTAAATTTCAAAGGTATTTATGACACTCCAAAGTTTGGAAGTTATGTATGTGACAAAGTCTGAGTAATCCTCAGATATTAAAGGCTTTATCCTTCTGCTTTTATTATCTTCGATGGTGCTAGTCATTGATATTAGTAGGTAACTTGATAGTTAATCTTATCTTTACTACATTCTTAACTAGTGCGAATTCAATGCCAAGAAATGTTTTTGTATTGAATAAATGATTACCGTACTCTATAACGTTTACGAGTACTCTGCATTAGTGCTTGCTACAAGGAAAGGAAATTAGATCTTAGCTTTATTTATTATGGTATTATATAGCCTGAGGAAATTCTAACTTGCCTCATAAAGAAATGAAGAGAAAATTATCAACGAGGTAGTATGTTGAGTCAAGTTTGAAAACCTTGGAGAAATGTTTACCTAAATGGAAAAATTGTTCAAAACTCTTCCGTTTTTTATTTAGTTCAATGATTGATAACTTTATTTTCAGTTTTGCTGTACTTTCAGTTTTATTTCAGTTTTGCATCTGTACTTTTTATCAGTCATTGGAATAAGACCAAATCACAGTTTATAGTGTTATATTATTGTAAGTACGAGGCCAAACATTTATACGCGGACAGAATCGAGATCAATAGCTAAAATGTTTGTATCATTGCCTCCATAATATTCTTTCACATCTGACAATATTCTAGGCTTAGGTATATACGACTTTACTAACTATAACCTTTAGTGTATTGATCTATGCGTTTAATTTTGAACAAGGTTTTGCATACCAGTAAGCTTTGGTATTGGAAAATATCAGTTTTGCTGTGTACGGAGAAACGTGAGTGTGTGCCTTGCATTTGACTTCAAACAGTTGCTGATTGACCTTTTGGAAAGGAGCTGATTATTCTAGAATAGAAGCTGTGCTTCTTTTTTTTTTCTAACGGGACTCTATGTAAATATAATTTTTTTATGTAGTAGAGAAGAAGAAGTTCAATTTGTTTCTTTACCCTCATCACATAATACGATTTTTTGCTCATTCCTTTAACTTCTTAATTTATTTAGTGTAATAATTATTAACGCTACGTCTTGTGTGCTTCATTGAGGTGTCAAAGTTAGTAGTAATGATAGGGTCTTTGCAAGTTAGGCATCCAGTAGTTCGATGAAAATTATCTTTCTACAAATCTATGCTTGGGTCTTGAACTACTAAATGGTGAGTTTAATACATTTTTCGTGTTGAAAAATTGTTCACATAAACAAGTTTTTATATTTAGGGGGGTGTCTCTTCAACAGCCAGGGAATGTTCAATGTATTGTGTGACAATGTAACCAAGAATACAATGGTGATTCAGTCGTGTTAGAATAGTCGTGATATGTACACATTTGAAGCTAAAACTGGTGAGCTTTGAGAATGCTTATTTTCCGTTGTTAAACTTGCTATGGAGAGTTGTTACCAATTCAGGACATGCTCAAAGCTTTACAGCTCAATATATTTCAATTAAATATTTAGGCGTTTTTATATCGGAACTCGATTATTTTAAATTTTTGTTTGTAATAATGCACAAGTACGTATAACTATTTTATGATTGCAGGCGTCGGTTGAGGTACAGTGTACCAGCATCAGCATCGTCGCCCGGTGATTGACAGCATGAACTGATCTCGGACGCAGGAACAGAGATTCAGACTTAATCTTCATCAACATGGAGGGGTCAAACGCTGGCATAGGTCAGATCAGCAACGTGGTGGCTTTGGGCAACAATACCATCGCCCTCAACGGTGCCAATCTCACAAACTTGACTGCAATGCCTGCAGGCACAGTCACTGTGCCGGTGTCTGGGATGCACACCGTACAAGGGGTCCCCGTTGCCTTCTATAACTACACCCCAGAAGGCATGGGACAGCTTGTGGCGACCACGGGGCAAACAGTGCAGTTGGAACTGGCTGGTAACACGGACATCGCGCGACAGTTCAATCAGCAAGTGCAAGCTCAGTACGGCACTCATATCCAGCTACAACTGGTACCAGCGCAGCTGCCTACTATGCAGCCGCAACAGGTGCAACAAACTCAACAAGTTATCCCTTTACAGATACAACAGTCACACACAGTACAACACATTGCTCAGCCTCAGCAACATCAGCCGCAGCAGGTCACTGTTCAGCAGATACAGCAAACCGTTAAGATTGACGACGACGCTGGTAACTATCCATCGGTTTCGAATCCTGTCGAGAATGCCTCAGAAACTGCAAAGAAGAAAAATACTAAACCAGTTGGTTCTGACCGTGTGCCTTGTCCCATGTGTCCTAAAACTGTTTCTTGTTCGGCCACGCTGCGCGATCATATGCGTACGCATACTGGCGAGCGGCCTTTTTCTTGCTCTGAATGTGGCCTTGCATTCTCGCAGCGCTCAAATCTGCGCATGCACAAGCGTCTTCACACTGGAGAGCGCCCGTACATGTGCGGCATATGTGGCAAAACGTTCGCTCGGTCTTCTCATCTCCCCGCACACATGCGTACGCACACCGGCGAAAAACCATATGTGTGTACGTCATGTGATCACGCATTCATCACTGCTCAGCAGCTCAAAAACCACAATCGCGTCCACACAGGTGAAAAACCTTGGCGATGTGATCTCTGTCCTGCAGCCTTCACACACTCTTCTTCGCTCTCGACTCACAAGAAAAAGCACACAGGAAATAAACCTTTCGAATGCGATAAATGCACTAAAAAGTTTTTCTTCACATCTGCTTTAGATAAGCACTTGAAAGTTCACTCCAAGGCTCGCCCTTTCATATGCCCTACGTGCGAGAATACCTTCAAGTATAAAGAGAGTTTGACTGTGCACATGGAGCGATATTGTGGCCGTCAGAGCGAGAAGAAGCAAAGGGCGCCAAGAAAACCTGATGCCAAGAAGCCTGGTCCCAAGCCAGGTGCGGGACGCAAGTATGTGCAGCAACGGAAAGGCAGGCCCAGGGGACGTCCCCGAAAACGTGGCAGGCAAAAGAAGGTAGTGAAAAAGCAACAGCCACAGCAACCCAAAGTCGTATCTACAGAAAGTCCTGTCTCGGAAATTTATGGCATGAAGAATGATAACGAAGACGAAGATGATGGTGAAAAGGTGGGAAGTATTATGTTCCACACGGACTCCGATGATGATATCCCTGTTGCTGAACTCAAGGTCGAGAAAATAGAAGGTACTAACGAGACCCATGTGGTGGTTGAGTCAGTTTCTGGTGATCGCAACGATGGCATTGTATCGTCGTCTGCCGTTCACAACGAAATGAGTCATGCGGACGCAATGCACGTTTCAGTCGCACATTCATCTGGCATTCATCAAGTTGGTGATCTCGGGTCGAGCATCGTGCAGTTCGATCCGAGCACAGTGACCATCGTGTCTGCTGAAGAAGCTGAGCGACATTTGGCCAACAGTAACTTGCAGATAATGACACTGCAACCTGAGATGCTTCAGCTCATGCAGCAGGGCGCACAACCTGGTCACATCATCAGCTCCGATGTGCTGCACAACGCATCACAGATTCAGATATCGCAGGTTCAAACTCTACAGAACAATATTCACATTGATCAACATCAAGATGTCGCGCAACATCAAATGCATATTCAGCATCAACACCATCATCAGCCTCAACAGCACGCTACCAATCACACATCTATGGGTAGCAACCACCAGATGCAGCAGCAGCAGCAGCATCATCACCAACAGCAGCAGCAACAGAACATCGTGATGAGCAATCAGTGCAACGGTGTGCCGTCTGACATAGTTGTGAAGAATGGTCTGCAGGTTTATTATACCCGTTAAAAGATTTGTCCTTCTTTTAATTACTTTATTTATCAATTCTTGGCACAGCATTTGATTCTAATAAATTCTGAGGTTTAGCTATTCTGCAAATACTTGTTTGCACCCATTTTCGCCTTGATGTATTTGCCATTCAAGTAGAGAATTGTTTCCACGGTGCAGATAAATCGGGTTATTTTGATTTTGACCAAATTTGCTGCCACATGATATTATGAACCAACTTTCCTCCTTTGATTCCTAAATTGACTTTTACAACACTAAAATGGTAGTGAAAAATGCATATTTCCCGGACTGATCTAAACTAGCCAAGAGGATTTGGTTTGAAAAGAAATGGCAATTTAATTCGAATAAACTTTATCATTGTGGCGCAGGCTAGCGTGTGTAATTTGTTATCAATTGGTTAGTCGCTTAAGCATTTTCTTTTACACCCGGTCATTTCAACGATTGTTGCAGTTTATCGTAAGTTTAGTGTTGACCAGATTCACTGGCGTTTCCAATAACATTTTCGGTCATCTCAAACTTGTCTTACATGTACGTGATTACATCGTTAGTCGCAGATACGACCATGGGTTGACACGTGTATATTTTTCACCTGTTATGCAATTTTCGGATAAAAAATTTCACATGCTTGCTCGTAGCTTAATAAATCTTGTCTACTCGTCGTTTCTTGCGTAGCTGTTAAATCTTTCTGCTAGCTCCTAGTAGAATGTAAGCCCATACGTGCAGCTGTGTCGTGTGATAGACGAGGAGTTATTGATTAGCATGATCATGTCTCAAAGTAGCCTGCCATCTTGTTCAGCAAAAACAACTTGTTGGTTTGAAATGCTGAGTCATTCGAAATTCAGTGCGGCGTTTCCCTCCAAAACTGCACCGCAGAGAAAATTACCAGAGAATTGTTTTTACTTAGTCAATTATTTTCGTCAACTGGATTAGCGCTTGTTAATTGACGTCATGTTGGTGTTCAATTTATGAACCACATTAACATTGTTATTGTGCATGCAAATACACGCAGTGATTAATAATAATAAAGAACGTTGAGGCATTTGCTTCTCAAAATTTTACAATCTAATTTAAAAAATGATGGAGATTAACGATTTTTAAACTATAGTTGATAGAACGTCATGATGCTTTATTTTGATAATCATTATTGGTTGGTTGTATTTTAAGCTGTAACGAAGATTAATTTTAGCGATATAACTGCTGTGGCAATTTAATTTATTTTTAAGTGGTAATAAATTGAAATAAATTTATTTATGTTCTATCCCTGGTCGAGCTACATTTGGAGAGGCGTGAGACTGATGTCGATTGATTTCCTCTAGTCCGTCGTTGGACGGTTTACGGAATAAATCTCCATTTTCGTTAATGAATGCTTACTTAAAAATTTTGATCGCCACTAGCTCGGCATCTGAAACTTAACGTCATTCACTGTTATGAATTATTCCCACTGACGGCATGGTATCAAAGGAGTTCAAATCAGGAGCTGCTTTCGTTGTAACGCTGGGCCAAAGCTTGGTGTTTAGCCAGACAGTCTCGAAGTAAATGTGAAAGTTGCGACCATGCAGCGTCCGGTTCACGGGAGCGTTGTAGTTGGGCTCGTAGAATGCCAGACGGAAGCCTCTTTGGTGCAGGCCGCGCAAAACCCTGCGTCCGGAAATATGGTTTATTGCTCTTTCGAGTTAAACTCCGCTGAATAATGACCTAGCTCGGGGAAACAACCTTCAAGTCAAGCCTGTCAGATTACGGTCCTCATGTCAGATTACGGTTTTGAATTTTGGGTTCTGAAATGTCATTTCATTGTTCAAGAGATCGTTTAAAGGAATCATGACAGCTGAGTACGACTAGTACTATTACAAATTTTACTTACAGTTCCTAAGGATATCGTTTATAACTAACGAATACCTTAATTATCTTACCGTGCTATCGAACGTAGGCCCCCCAGCTGGCCGTCCGGGTGCTGGTCGAACTGGCTTTCAGGGTAGAGGTAATCCAGGTGCACCTCAAGCGACAGCTGTTTGGTTCTCTCCAGCACGCGAGTCTGGACCGGCAAGCGGGGTTAATAATTAAATATTTCATTCGTTACTTTTGTTTAAATCGAGCAGGAACAATTTTTATAGAATCCTATCATTTTAGCCCAAGCATCCATGAAATACAACATATATTTAATGTCCTTTTCGAATATGTTCAATGAGTTGAGTAGTCTAAACTCGACACTAGTCCCATAGTCCCATAAATGAGGTATAAATATTGTGTAGAAGGAGCGCCGCCAGACATGCCTCCTTTTTTATGTATTCTTTTGGGAACTTTCAAAATGACGTGAAAATTCTAGATTTCACGGAAACTTTAATTCTGTCTACTTTTGTGGTCACCTTGAAAACAGATTTTTCGAAGACGTCCCACTCAGAATTTTCAATGTCTATTTTCAGAAAGGCTATTTGTGCTTGGGCGTGGCCTAGGTGAATTTTCAGGTCGTGTAGTGGTCGATACACGTAAGGGAATCTCCCCGAAGGATCGGTCAGCACAAGCACCTCCCTTCTCCAGCCCAGTCTTACTTTTAGGAACGTCACCCTGGCATGGAATGAAGCCAACATATTCGCTTAGAGGTAGTACGAGCAAAACTACAAAAACTATCCATATGCAATACGATAAAACTTAATTAGAGTGATGTAAGCATTTAGCAGCTCTGGGTATCTAATTTTCGTAATGATTTGAGTTAACAAAAAGATAAACTTTCCGTTCAATATATTTTGTAAAATAGTTACCTTGGATAAATATTTCTAGGATAACTCATGTGTCTGTAATCGGAGTCGAACGCGAAGACATCACAACCATAATTTGCGATTGCCATGTCGAAGGAGAGCTCGTGGCCCACCCCGAAAGAGTACACCAAGCAGTCATCGATCTCGGGGCGCATATCAGCATCGAAACAGACCACCCTGAACGTCGGAGACCATTAGACGGTCTATATGACAATGAAGTGTTTCAATTCTTTATTACAATGTTGTCTGATGAGAGACAAATTCAGTTCGCAACTTATTTGAGTTGATAGTGGTATTGATTTTTTTGGACGAATAAAAGCTACGTATGGGTTTGTCACTAGTTATGATCATGAATGATTTCTAAAGTTCAACTAACTTTTCCGCCTCCGCCCGACCCGTGCAGTAGGATCCACCGATGCGGACCATTTTCCGACATTGGTATGTCGGTATCGTAAAACCTTCGAGTACGCGTTCCAACAGTTCCGATTCTGACAGGCTGTCCAAGTCTAAAGTAAGGAGTTCATCCATTCGTCCCTGCACAATTATGACAAAGAGAGTTTCATGTATTTCAGAACAACATGCAGAAATCTTTGCGCCCTATAGAATTTTTTTGGTCAAGTTCTTTTATTGAAGTTGATATGTAAACTAGGAAAGCAAGAACTGTGAGCGCTAATCTTAAAACCGGCGTGGGCATAAACTATGCAAAAAAACAGAACGATGTTGTTGAATTTGTACCTCCGGGTCATCCGTGACGTATGGGAATAGGTCTGGGTGAAGAGTGTGAAAAAACGACGCTGGATAACTTGGAGCCAGTCCCATGGACCTGTTTTCGCTGGGGAAGAGCTTGACTCTACCGGGTACATACGGCAAACCTGAGGTTTTTTGTATCAAGTAAGCCAACTGCGTGTTTGATTAAACACAAATACAACAACAAAAAACTGCCTGAAATTTAGTCTAGGCCTACTATGTTACCGTTCCATGAAATCGAGGACCTTTAACATATGTATGATGGAAAAAATATTCCGTGCAATAGATCTTTATTAATCAATTTAATGGCACGAGTTCCTAGAACATCAGATTTTCGAAAATACATTTTTATTATCATTTCTAAATACATATGAAATTGCAAAAAATTTTGGTCTTATATGAAATTTACCTGGCCTCATGTCCGTCGCAAAATTTATGTCTACTGGAGGTCTTCTATGCTCATATGATGTGTGAGTAATTGTACGGGCGGAAAATAAAGCAATAAGACAATAGCTTACTAATAAGAACACCGCAATGTTCATCAATAAGCGCCGCCACGCTTTCGGCATCTGGGATAAAATTTGGTTCATGGCTCTTGCAACAGTTTGAAAACTTCCTCGAAGTGGATGATCTACTCTTTATTAATCATGATTATTTGAAACTTGCGTTCGTCGGAAATATTCAATTGTGGCACGAAATATGCATTAGTATGTTGTCTTAACACCCTCGTTTAATTGACAACGAACGATATTTCTTCGGACTTCAAAATCACTCCTCGGTCTTTAAAATCACTCTATTCTGTTGTAATTGCTGGTTAATGGCAGAGACTGTCTCTAAATGGTGCAAGACTGTCCTTAAATGTCTGGGCTTCTTCGAAACTTTTTAAGGAAAGTTTTCTGCGATAGCGTCGTTCCCTAGTCCAGCACATATATTAACATTGGTTATTAGGGCTCTCAGTATCCTAATTATCTTCCATCCATGGATTCACGCGCTGTGATCTGGAAATTTTATCCACGTCCTCGTGACATCAAATGAATGACACTGTTGAGCATCTTGAGATGATTTATCGTATTTTACTGGTATTTATGGGACGGATTTGCTAACACGCGAATCTTTGGAGCGTGGCTGTTCCGACGCCGACGCCATTGATGCACTGATGTTCAGCCACGGATTCTTGGCTGCTATTTCCGTGTGTGCCAGCGTCGAGGATAAATTCTCGCCAGGAAAGAAGATTTTTTTTCTCCTAATGATAATATTTTTTGTCGTGCTTTTTTGCGCTAATTTGCTACAGATTTTTTCAGGGAGAACTCGAATCATTTGAGAGCAAACTATTATCATATCATTTAATATTCTATTATATTGAACCAGTATTTTGGACCACTCAATTTCATCGCTGCAATTTCGACAACTATATACACAACCAAGACAATTTATCATACTTACCAAAATATCCATCCAGTCAGTTGAGTTTTGGTACATGTTACAGCCTTTACTGGGCAAGCTTTGAATACCGTTCAATGCAGGTTTACTTGCTTATCATTTTTCTGGCGTTAATCGCACTGAGCAACTAAAGTTTACAGAGAAAACAAAGCAAATTCTTAAAATTTTGCACGCAACATTTTTCGAGTTTCATAATTTATTCAATGCTTCATTGCATAATCTACAGGCTGACTAAAATATATATGTATATTTAATTCTGGAAAGGATGGGTCCTTAACATGGCAGGATAATGAAAAAAGTGGTGTGAAAAATTTCCTTAAGATGTGAACAGAACAACAGAGTGTTGAATACCTGGTGGAACATGTCGCATTCTGCACATGAAAAAATGTAAACACATTTATAAACATGTAAAACGCCGAACGAGTACACCAGTGGTACCAATGGTCTGTACGAAATTCATAGGAAAATTTCTAATTACATTCTATTTTTAAATTAAGAGTGACTGAAGACAGGAAATTTTTAATTAATACTCTGTAGAATTCTGAATATTGTGTGACTTATAAATTTTGAAAGCTTTTTTAAATCAACAATTCAAAAGGATGTATCAAAAACCTACATTATGCTGTCAATTCCTGTATTATTCTAGTTTGCTTCAATACAAAAATCTTCAATTATACTACTGTCTCTGGATTTTTTTCACTAATCACTTTGATGTTATTGGTGAACGAAGAATGCTTTTGGTCAATCAACAGGCGATCACTTGTAATCCATATGAGAATATTTCGAAATAATTCCATGCCTTGAGAGTTGTAAACAATTGTTGATTCCAATCAAGTATTTTATCCTAGAATAATTCTAGACGGTAAATATATTTATTTCACAATAAGGAACAATCTAATAAAATTTTGAACACGACAACAGCTTATAAGCACTATTCTCGCTCAATTGAATCGAGGTATCTATCGTACACATACATTCCATACACTCTAAACAACACACACGTTAACAATAGAGAACTTTTTACAAGCTTTGCGTGCATTTACGCGCTATCAAGTTCGACATCTTGAACACTCCATTCTCTTGCTGGAAAATATTTTGCACCAACTTGAAATAAAGCTTTTTATCTAGTTTAGTGAACACTGTAAATCACTTATAGCATTTGATGATTGTTATGGTTGTTCTATGTTCGCTTATCACAAGATAAAATAATGAATTAGTTTGTTGGGGAGCTAGGCTTCAAGAGGCGAGAATATGTATTTTTTATTTATTTCGAAAATCTTACACGTTCTGCAGTACGACCAGAGATAAATAAGTTAGCAAGAATTTCGATGTTCGAAAAATGTTTTTCTCTATTGCAGTTGCAATTTTTATCTGTGGAGCAACTGTTAGATGGTTTGAAACCCGACTCTGCACATGAACTAAAAATTTCTTAACTGTAGTGCCTAAAAATATTGTCCGCAAGAAGTCGCTCTAATCACTCAGGCATCTTAATTTTACAAGAAAGAAGATCAAACATGTCTATGTACATTTAAAATAAAATGTAGTCTTGTACACAATAAATAGGTCAGTCTGGAGCGGAGCTCAAATAAATTCATTCAACTTTATGCATTAAATGATTAAAGGAAAGTAAATAAATTTTCAAGAGCTCAAAAAAATGTACAATGATATTTGAATAATTGGAGTAATTGCCACATATATATGCGTAGTCAAAAGACCTTGTTAATAACGAAGAATTCAAATATGATGCTAGACGTACGACAGTAAAAAAATATAATAGGAGGTATAAATAGTCGAAATAAAATTATTTTTCTACGAAAGCGAGACTCTAACCAGACAAGGTTATTTACGACTTAGAAGTGCGGTCCTTTTGACCAAGAAACACGGAAATAATTTCACTTCAATGCATTGTGAACTTTAATGACTTCAACTGTCACATGCCGCTGTGCATATTTTTATTTGTGTTCTACAACATCAATTCATTAAATATTCTATAAATCATTTGTGATGAGCTGCGCTCTCAGTTTAAGATGCGCTACACTTTAAAGTGTACATCGAAGTCTCTGATCTGTAAACTTTTTAATATTTACATTAATATCAATAGCTGAAAAATGTTTGAAAAACCGTCATTCAAGGTCTTGGAAAAAGTTAATGTTTTCGCACACGTTGGAGTGAAGTCACCACCCGTTTTTCCGTGCGACAGCTCACATGTCCAGACCCCTGGAGTTCTCGTCATTATATCGTTCACCAAACGACAGACACTCTAATACAAATAGATAACTTTCTAATATAATAACAACAATGACGATAATAATATCAATAAAGAGATGGGCAGTGAAACTTGAAGCCATTTTATACAATATGTTGTGTATGGTATCTATGTCAAGAAATTTAGTAAATAATGTATTTAATCTTGTGCTGTGGTGTTGGTTATATACCTTGAGGAAGCGCATTGTGTGTGTCTTACATTGCCATACTCTCATGCGTCCAATGAGTGCAGTTTTTAAGTCCATATGCTTATTATTAGCCTTATTACTAGATAGATGTGCATCAGTTGCACAGGAAAATCTAAAAGTTAGAACAGTCCAATCTTGAACAGGCTTAGCTAATGGCAGAGATTTCGTTTCAGAGATGAGAAGTTATTTTAGTCGTTTACATATTCATATATCATTTGGTACAGTTAGTTAATCAATCACAGCTACTCAAGGATAAGATAATTTATGAGCTCTGATTAAAAAGGGGATTAAGGTGAAAATAATTCAAAGCTTTTATTGGCGAAGTACGATTATATCGAACCGTTAATAACAGATGACGGAAGCTGTGAATTTGACATCGCGAGAGAACATAAGACAACAATAAATGATCATTCTAAAATTGTGCAATCTATATTGCGTATATCTGAGTTTTTAATATTCCTATTTCCTTGAGCCTCTTATAATTTAACTGATGCAGCTAGCTAAGCTTACAACACTAACTAGGGTGCAGTGAAAAAGCAATATAAATTGGTCCAGACCAGTGCACAGTTCTAACATAACAATACTTTCGCTTTATAACGTTTACAATTTAAAGTTCTTATTCAGACCAAATTGTTATCTAATTACTTAAGCATTTATTTTTTTTCTCAGTAATGACGACAACAACCTCGTTAAATTACTGGTATTTAAATAATGAACCCCAAATTATTGATTAAATTTATGCATGAATTTTGTATAATACCCACGACTCTTATCACCTGGCGCTTGAAAAACTGGGCAGGTGCCGTTGAACTCATTTCTTAATGAAGGTGTAAAGTCCGAGAGCTAAAAACGACAATCTAGCAGTGAAGAGTTACTGAACAAAGTCAACATTGACCTTTAAGATGCACAATTTTATCGTGGTAGCAGCAAATTGGTGTTTCAATTTGTTGTCTTATCGGCTGAGGCTTTGTTTGTTTACACATTTTTAGCTCTGTTCTTTTACACAAAAAAGGTTCAGAGCGCATTTGTGATCATAGTACGTTTGTTAGTATAATTGTGACTAGCGTTTGGGCCAGATGGTTGAGCTGTGATTTATTGACCTTTTTTTTACGATGAAAATTTGCCGATAAAAATGCTTTTGGATAGCGTACCGAAATATTTAATAATTATGTATATACAGTGTTTTAAGAGTAACTTCATTAAATATGTTATAAAATATAATATAATAACATAATATATTGTTGAATAAGATCGACAAGTCAAGTATCCGACAGGACCCCCAAGTCTCGCTTGCATTAGACAGCAACGAAGTCATTTGCAATGATGTGAGTACAATGAAGATTTATGGTTAGTTCAGCTCCGTTAGTTATAAGATAATTTCTCATAGCTTAGTAGACTGAAACTACTATTGACAAACAGACCATCGAAGGTCCCAAATTTTTATTGAAAATGTTTTTAAACAAATCTTCGAGGCTGCGAAATTGCTCATTTAATTCTTATCAAAAATATATTAAAACTCATTTAGGATCATATCTAGTCTAAAATTGGGCTATGGTTTCTCCAATTCGAAATGAGGGACTACGTAAAATAATTTATTGTATCATACGTTGCTTTTTTCCGTGAGCGCGGATGAACACTTATTTTAATCTCTTGTCCGCCGTGAAACATGCAAGCTACTTCACCGCAATCAAGACTTTTTACTAAGTACTTGCCTCGTGAGAACATTGAAATCGAATATCTACCCTACTTATAGTCTTAGAATACTGAACACAAGAATACTGAATAAGTTTGACTAATTCTGACTCCAAACTACCAAAGACTTCCCTACATAAAGTTTTCTGCTCTACACATTTAGAATACGTGGGATATCTGAGCAAGTTTTTTGATTCCTTGAAGATAAAAATTATAAACCGTTTTATATTGTGTCTGTTTGAGGAAGATATCATTATCAAGACGGTCCCTCGGAAATAAATTTAAAGCTGAAAGAAGAAAGTTTCTTCTTACTGTATGGTTTAGACTTTAGAGCAAACACAATTTTTGTAATTTACTTTCTAGCCGATTCAGACTTTCTGCGAATAATTTGTACGGAACTTTAAATTTAGTGTGCCGAGAGCGTCAATTTAATTATGAGCTTCACGACAACTTTTCATTGCACACATTGTGAAATTCTGATAAATGATGTTTAGTTGAGCTGTAATCAACAGTGAGACTTTAACACGAGCAAAGGTGCCAATAAACATACTAAATATGTTCATGTGAGCGTCACTAGTAACACTTGAAGAAATTGAACAAACTCGCCTGATTTGTTATTCAAAGGTTAAACCATGTGTTTTATAATATTGTCCATGAGGTATTGTTCGCACCTAAGCTCAAGTCGCCGAGACTATACGTGAAAACTCGTTTCCGGATGAACTGGTCGAGGGCTGTGACGTTGTACTGACCGGGCCCCTCCAGAGAACGATCTGCCTATCGTTGCGTGGTGTCCCTGTCCCGTGGATGTCGATGTGTAGTGCTGCTGGTGGGAAGAAGCTGATCGTGAATGCCCGTGAGCCGCCCCTGCTGCTCTTGACGATTGGGAAGGTGGCTGGTACGTGTGGCTTGGATACTGCGCATCGTAGGTATAAAACGAGGGAGGCTGCCGACTGCTGACCCCCGTTCCGCTGCCACTGTACGCTGGTAGTGTGTGGGCAGAGTAGGATTCGACAGGGTACGATGAGAGGTGAGCTGCGGTGCCGTGAGGTGGGTGGCCGTAGTCGTATGAGTGTGCAGTGTTCGGCGTTCGAACTCCACCGGGATGAGATCCGGCAGCTGTGTGTGATAGTGTGGCAAACGGATTGGTTGCTGTGATGACGACGGTAGTACCTGCTCTTGTGTGGGGGGGATGTGGAGCCGTCGGGCGCGGTGGTGGTACTGGCTGGGCGTGAGACGTAGAATAGGACCTCGCATGGCCTGGTCCCCGCTCACCTCCGCTCTGGCTGCGACCGACGCTGCTCTGGGCAGCGTGTGTGTGGACCAAATCTGATGCTGGCTCCGGCTGGGAGAGGCTGTGATGAGAACGGGATTTGGTCGCGGAAGAGTACCCGGTTGGGTACGGCTGAGTGGTATATCGATGTGATGACACAAGGTCGGATTGCGATTGGTGGTGCTGGTGGTCTGATGAGTACTGGGATGGATACTGCTGATGATGCTGCTGGTACTGCTGGTTTGCTGGATTCTTGTCATATTGGGGCAAAGTAGTAGATTGCACTTTATAGTATGGTTGCGGTGGCTGTGACACTGGCTTCTGATATGATTGTTGCTGTGTCTTGAGTGGCAAATGCTGCAATTTGTATTCGGATGGGGTTCCATGGCCATGCTGGTGCTCATACATTGGCTGGGTGAGGAGCTGCTGGGAAGGATAGCTGTCACTGTACCGGTAGCCATCACTGGCCAATTTTGGCTCTGGACGCGGAGGCTTGTAGTCGTAGGAAACATGCTTGGGCTCGGCTGGGAGAGGTCTGTGGTCCAGGGTTGAAAATTTGTGATCTTGTATTGATTTTTGCTCGTAGTTGCTTGATCTGGTGTCATAGGTGGCAAATTTTTGTGGATGTGCTGATAGCTTTGGCTCGTTGATGGGAGGCTTAGGTTCATAGTTGTACTGTTTTTGATCTCGACTTGACGACTTTTGTTCGTTATCATACTGCTGTTTTTCGTAGCTTGCATATTTTGCTGGGAGATTGTGCTGTTTGTACTCGACAATGGGTGATCGACTGCAATCAGTGTTGGCGTCCCTGGAGTACTTGACAACTCCGTTTGCATGTTTGGGGTCAATTTGAGAAGCTTTGTAGTCAAAGCCAATGTTTCTACCATCAACGATGGCGTGTTTCCCTCGTTCTGTTGACGTGTGCTTATTGACATCGGCGGTTGAGCCCTTGTTGCTGTGACTGCCGTCGATGAGGCGGCAATCTCCGTTCTGGAGTTTGTGGTTGTCACGGTACTTGTACTGATCGGACTTGGCACTTGTGGGCTCGTAAGTCTGGGGTTTATTGTCTCGAGGCTTTGGTGGAAGCTTCGGCTCTGTAGCTGGAGGTTTGTGTTCGGGAACTTGAGGTGCTCTCGATTCTTGGGACTTTCGGTCGGAGTGACAGGGCTTCGTCTCGGGGTGTTGATGAGACTGCTGTTGAGACTGACGGATGTTCGAGATCTGCTGTCGATTTTCTGTATTACCTGAAGACTCGGCGTTTGGTGGCATGGAATCGGGGCTTGCTGATCTAGCTTCGGCGCTGGTAGACTTCCTAACATCAGTTCGCCTGTCGGTTCCGGGTGGCTCACCCGAAGCGGCGGATTTGGCTGCGATGTCTGTGGTCGAGATTTTTTGTTCGGAGTCAGTGGTAACGAGGGCGATTGGGCTGGCAACGTTCCTTTTGTGTTGTCGGTTTGCCGTATTGGTGGCGGAGGTGCTTTTCTGACCGGTTGCAGTGGTGATCTCTTGCTGCTGCTTCCCGGTATTAGTTGAGTGTCTGGACTTGAGAGTTCCAATTGTGGTTTGATTTTGGTTTCTGTCGAGCGTACTTTTTCGCTCATAACCTTTGTGGTCGTGTGCATCGAGGTCATGCTCGTGCTCGTGATGGTATTCGTGATGGTGCTCGTGGTGATGGTGCTGCTGGAGGGAATGCCTTGAGGGGACCAAGTCTGTAGGGGGTTGCACTGACCGAGTTGTCTGAGCTGGGCGAGTGGGACGCGGATCGGTTCCGGACCAAGATGCATTTGCTGATCGTACAGGAATGGGGCTGATGGGTTTCTTCGGTGGTGCGGTGTGGGTGGGTCGGATGGCAGTGGCTGTTGATTGAGGAGGTCTTGGTCTTGGCGGATCGAGTTGGGCGTGCCCTCATAGATACTTGGCTTTGGCCGACGTGATGCACTTAGAGAGACACATCGCAATCATCACCCCGACCACCTGCGTTATACATAAGTTTAACAATATTGCCATAATAGAGTTGGTTAAAGATATAATATAAGACTTGAAATATCAATAATATTCTCACAAAAAATATATTTGAATGAAAGAAATGCGGTGACAGTCATTCCAACAATTGTCTCACCATGACGGCAATGAATACCATCCCCGTGATGAAGAAAGGGAATTTCTTATCTTGCAGGAATTTCACTACTGTGAGGTAACAGCCCTGCAAAGAAGGAAAATTTTAATTCTAAGAAAGAATTGACTTAGACTATCGAAAAGAGAAAAAATATACTATTGATATCGTATTTCGCCAAATTATATATTCTAGATGCTATCACACAATTCTATCATCGATTGGGGAATTAGATTTGCAGGCTTACCTCGTCCTTTCGCAACCCGATGATATTAAAAAAAAAATTTTTAAATTTGCTTTATTCACGTTATCACAAAGTCTCACCCTATTGTACAGGACGCAAATAGAGTTGTGACGCTGGCTGCAGCAGGATGCTGGAAAGGGAGGATCGTTTCGTTGTCCGAAGGGCATCGCCACCCAATCACTAGCGTTGTAAATGCCACAGCATCCCAGCTGATCGCGGATGAAAGTTCGAGTTATTGTGTGGACGGGATGTACTCTCCATCAATATTTATTGGCCAAATTCTGACCTGAAAATTTTTTCGTGGCAAGTAATAATGGTTTCAGCGATGATTAGGCCGTTAGACCTGTAGCTGATTCTTAACATTGCAGAACATTTACAGCTACTTGCGGTCTCGAACACGCAACTCACTGCTCCAATTCTTCTTTCCTCGCCCGTCCGGCCTACTCGCCAATTCTGACCATAAACTGTCGCACCCGCAGTTCTCTGATCTATCCTGGTTCTCTAAATTGTAACGACTGGGCCACCCTGCACAGTGGTGGTTCAAACGCGAAAAAACACTATTTTTTGGCGGTGCACAGGTCCCGAACACGGCGTGCTTCCTCCCAGTAGGCACAAAATAGCAATCAATTCCACAATCTCGACTTTCTCATGTCGCAAACATCACTCGCCATCGTCCTCTTCATCAGAACAGCCTCATGAACACGTAACCTCATTTGACGCTCTACACCACAAACCAACAGGATAAAAAAAGAAGCAATAGACCAACGCATAGCAACGGACGGGCCAAAATTGTTGAGACATCTGTAGGGAAATCCAATGTTAAAATTACTTATAATTAGTTGAATCTTCAATTCTTGTAATAAAATCAAGCCTTTCATAAACATCCGAACTACTTCTAAATTGACTTTTTCTTTCTTTGTTAATTGATTTAACTGTTACCTCACTACAGCCTTGTCCGCCAGCGTCTGGGGTAAGACCTCCAATAGCTCCTAAATTGTTCCTCAAACTTGTAATATATCTTTGTATATTGATTGCGCTTAATGTCGACTTTATTTTAATTCGTATTGTATTTCATTTATTCTACAGGTGCAACTTACGGATACCTACACTTAAATACACTTTCCTAACACTCGTCTCTCACGATTAATTCTCGTCTAAATCTCTCTTCTCGTTTAACTTAAAATCCCTCTTCGCTTATAGCCGTGTTGAACCTACTTACCGCTATACATCCTTCATATGAAACAAGACATCTCACTTATCCATCAGACGGCCTCGGCAATGGATTTTAACGCTGCATCAGAAGACACTTCTGCTATTGACGAACTTATTCATTGAAATGTTACCGAACCACATGTATCCATCCTACCACGCACAGACTGCATTTACTCGTATTTCACATAATTTCTAATTCATTTTCACATAATTCTAAAAAGGTCCCAAGCAGTAAATCGTCTATATCAGACAATAACTCTAGACCCTTATAATTCCTGAACTGCAGGTTAAATACGTTGCCAACAAAAATGCACACAATTAAATTGGCCCTACTTCCCATCCCCTTTCTCTTCAAGAGAAGCGCAACCTCTTCAGTCATGTAGAAAGATAACGCAATGTCCAATATTCTAGGTAGTGCAAATAACATAACTTTAAAAACTAAATATTGATATACATTTTTTCTTAGATCTTCTCACGAAGCAGACTGCATCTATAATAATTAATTATAAGTCTTTTAAAACGCAAAACACCCACACGACCCTTAATTATTACAATTACAATATTACAACTATATAAAATGACTGTATCACGCAAATGTGCCTGTTTCATTGATAATTACCGAGCTCTGTAGGTTGTCGACGGCTCTGGTGATGTCCACAGTTCGGCCGTAGTCAGTGAAGGCCCTGGCCAAGCCCTCCTCGTAGCTCGCCAGCACCCGCATCCTGAAAGTCCAGCCAGACACTCCCGCTGACACGAGTGTCACCAAGTCCGCCAACACAAAGGCCGCGTACTGTGAAAAATCCAAGCAAACTCGTCAAGTAGGATTTTAGAATGGAAGTCGTACAAAAAAAAAAGTATGTGAGCATTGAGATTCGGGTACACTAAAGGACACGAAGTAAACGACGTTGGATTATAAATTTCTACTCGCATCTACGATTTCTTACGACGATGAGTAGGATTGGCTGCTCTTTGGCAGCACAGCAGCAAGCGAGCAGCGCCAGCAGACACATGAGAGAGCCAACGCCGATGCCGATGTAGGGCGCCGTGGCGGCGAAGTCTGGTGACATGCGCACGTATTTGTCGAGCTCGACGGCCGCGAACACACCGATACCGAGCACGACCAGGCCCACCACCTGCGCGACCATGCAAATTAGCGCGTAGAATGTCTGATTACTCTTAATTCGTGGATATGACACGGAAATTAATTATTCTTGAAAGATATATTAATCTTGGCTCCATTAACTGGGGGGCCTCATTAGTCGTGCATCCTACTACGACTTTAATTAATTAGTTGAGAGATTTATTATTTCTTGCAAGCTTATGTTAACTGTTAATTTTAAATCTATTGTTCTGTAACAATATATCAATAAGTAGAAGCTCTTTTCATAAAGCACATTTCAGAAACTTAAGTTTTATCACCATCACAAATTTTTAGCGCATTTTCTTATTTATGGGAAAAAAGGCGCTATTGTGCTCGTCATGTCCGTCCGTCTGTCTATCCATCTGTGACCACGTTTTCGTCGACGAGAAAATGCGCTCTGTGTCACTTACTGCAGTGACTGCAGTGAGTACTGAGTTATATTTTTTTTATTTGCATAATTATTAGCATCGCTAGATGCAAAGCTATGAATCCGAAATATAGATTAAAAAGTAGAACAAAATAGACCAAGTGTGTAACTTTTTATTTGCATGAAATTTAAAAGATATTACATGTTACTCTCCGCTCGGGGCTCGGGAGCCTAACAGGTTTCAATTAAACATGCTTCTGAAGTTATGTCGCCTAGCGACAAGTTGGGCGCACCCCTCCCGTGCCAGCTGCAGTATGGCAGATGGTTGGAGATGTTCCTGTTGCATTTATCTTCCTGGGATATCAATATACTTCGCTGAAGTTTAACTCGACTGCTTGACGTATACGTTCGTCCCGTCACTCGTCAGTTCATAGCATGTCTACAAAAAGTATTTAAAAATTTTCAGTAAAGAACATGATTGTGTTGGTGTGCTGCAAAATGCAGCAGTCGTGCAGATGATGAAATGACAGATCTTCTTTTTTAGTCGGCGAAAGTAAAAATCAAAAGACCTGAGCATGGATTAAACGTTAACTACGAAATGGAAATTGAATTAAAGCGTCGAGGCGTTTTTGTCTTTTTGAGTTTTAAATATACTATCAAAATAAATAGATAATCAATCTCCCATATCAATTTTCAAATCTTGCAACTCATATAAACATGGACTAGCAATCTTATTAAACAATATAATCACTGAAGAAAACTATTTGAATGGAAATATAACACGCAGGATTATTTCCTATACCATTCTTTCAAGTTAGGCATCTTCGCGTAAATTAAATAAAGAATAAAATTCTTTGTGATTAAATTCATAATCCAAACTTGAAAGAGCCTAATATTAGCAGAGTTTCAAGTAATATAGATAAGTGTGGCTAAGTCTAAGTCAAAATAATTAAGTCTCTGAAATTGCACAAATTTAAGTCACTTTTTACCCTTGTGTGCGTACCCAAGGCCGTATCAGTGCTACGTGAATGAAGGGTGTCACTTTTAAGACAAAACTACCCAGCAATTTTTCTGAGGGCAGTGCTGCATTTTCTGGTCCCAATATTTTGCCAGGCTATGCGTTGGGCGCTCGTGAGTCTAAATTGCAAAGAACAAAATTGGTTTCAGTGTTCAGATTTTTTTTTTCTAATTAACTTGACTAAGCTTTCTGTCTGCTCGAGAAGGACTCTCTGAACTCACAGAGATGCTAATTTTTCGCTAAATCTTTTTAATGTTGCAATTCCCATCAGTGTCATGATTAAATTGCAAAAGTTAGGCAATAAACATCTGGTTATAAGGTATTAAAGGCTGTGCTAGAAAACTTTGACGAAAACTGCATGTTCGTCATTCAACAAATTTATAGTTTAAATTTAAAACTCAGAAATGCAACAAGAAATTAAGCAGCTGAACGTTCAAAAAAATACATTTAAAAACTATTCAGCTTTCTTTAGGAACAATAAAGTGATTTAAAATCCATAAATAACATTTATTTGGAACATTGATATATAAATTGATATAACTCCCAATTTTATCACATAACCCAGAGCAATGCTGACTTCTACGTATCCGAGTAATTTGGATGCTGATTTTATCACTTGCATTGCTTCGAAAGCCGTATTGAAATTTCTCTGAAAACAGCCAAAGTTCAGCTTGACGTTTCAACTGGCCTTGTTTTTGGAAAGAGAATCATTCCCAGCCATTGCAGGATCGGCTATGTGACAGGGAGCGCAATTTTTTAAAAGAAGCCTAAGTTCTGGTACGAGTATTTCAGGAAAATTTTCTGAACAACTGTTTGGGCGCTCTGGGCACAATGCATTTCCTCTCAGACTGCAACGCAGTGCATGAGCAAGGAAGGTTTTATAAAATTGGCACCTGTACCGTGAGTTCATATATATACAGCGTTTCTAATGTCACATTATTACACAACTACCAAGGTTTGTTGCTCCAGGATCATTATATGAAATATTTATATGTTGTAATGACTACGGTAATTATATTATTACAATTAAGTAAAATTTATTCAGTAGGTTAATAAGCTTTTTAATTTGATATCTACTGATTGATTCTGTGTTATTTATTAATAACAATGCATGTATTATGGGTTGATTTTGATAAGAAAGCAAAATATAGAATGAAGAAATAGTTGTAGGTGATAACATCCTCTATATTGGCAATCGTAAAGCGCATTCAAGACGAGAAATATTTTAGGAAACATAATATTTTTCCGCAGATAGGCCTCAGGATTATGTAACTTTACAGGAATTAAAGCGAACATTCTTCATTTTTTTTTCTAATTCTCTGACTCCTGTTTCTTATTATCCCCCGGCCCGCAAATGTACAGCAATCTGCATGAGTTTCTTTCTCGTCGCGTTGAATTTTCCAGGATTGAGTCGTTCCCGCACGGTTCTTTTCTGTGACGCATGGCGGCGTCTCAGTCCAAGTCACGGCGACTGACGCTCATTCACGAGCCTCTATTGAAACGCCCTCAGATCTTTATGCTGCCTCTGCACGACAGTCCTCAAACCTTGCTGGTAAATAACTCTGTTCCTGACTTGAGATTTGCTTAACTTTAAGCTTTGAATCACAACTTTCAATTTTATTTGCAATCGTTGTTGACTGAATTGGGGACTTTTCTGTGAATGTCAACATGGATGACCATACTCTTAGAGCAGAGTCGTTCGTCAAGTGTCAGAAATATTTATTAGTGTTCTGGTAATATATTTTCTTACAACATGCGACACGTAAACATTTTCTTACAAACATTTTCTTACAACATGCGACACGACTGACAACATGCCACACGTAAATCATTCTATTGAAATTCAACGAATAAAGATAAGCTGACGAAATAAGCTCAGTCCAATTCCCGTCTGTCTTCATCTTCTGAATGCATAAGGAATGGGCCGTCGTGGCCGCTGCCAGTTGACCGAGGATTTAGAGGAAACTCTTCTGGTCTTAGACTGGATCGTTCAAATCTGGATTGCTGAGACGTGCTGCAAGATTCTGAGCTCGCCGAATGATGACAGTCAACTGCTACAAGCTCTGGGCTTTTCTGTTTGCTCATAAAAAAGGGGAGTGAAATCTCTTCAGCTGCGAAAAATGTCTTGAATCTTGCAACTTTGCATCATTTAATAACTATTGTTAAACTTGGATGGCGATTTTGATGCTTCTGTTTGCAAATTAATATGATATCTTGAGGAAGAGATCTCGCTTGCCATTTCAAATCAAAGGAATATTGCAATGTTTATTTTCAATTGCATACGAGTTCTCTATATAACTAGCTTAAAAAATGTTCAATCAGCATTCTGTTATAAAAAGGGGGAATTTTTCATATATATAGCAGCAAGATATTTCGTCGCACGGACATTTCTTGACAAATGTTCCAGAGAGAATAAGTATATTTCTACAGGACCACGACAATCGCTTGACAGATTCAGAACACTAATATGTAAACACGAGTATAGTCAATTCAGCAGTTTTGGACAACCGCTACTGCCAGAAAGCCGATGAGGAAGAACAGGCTGCCAAACAAAGCTCGTTCCAGAGTCTATAGCAACCTGAAAAATTTCCGAATTCAATCGGCTAAATGAAACATGAAAATGATATCATCTTAGGATGACGGTGCTCTTTCTTACTTGCAGATAATAGACTGCGAAATATAAAGATAATGTTTTGACGCAGGGATCTCGGATGAAATTATGATTATATGGAACATTTATCACTTAACATATTTCCTTCAATGAATGAAATAACAGCGGACTAACAGTGTGTATTTTTATATTATAGTTTAGATTGATCGGCTTTCATTTATAAAGATTTAGCTACGAATGAGACCGCTTTAGCCGGGCATATAAAAAATTATGAAAATTTCGGAAATTTCGTTACACTGCTTATATCAACCTGTTTAAAAGCGAAGGAATACGAAAGAGGTCTTCAATTGAAATTGTGTTCTGAAATTGATTTTTTTTTCAAACGTGAAAGATGGATGCCTTGAGCGTTGCCATGACAATAGCTGCTAAAAAGCGTTGCAGACAGCAACGCGCTTCGGCAGAGCCACTGCCAAAAAATTCTAGCTTTTTTTCTTTCGCCCTAAATTTTCCGAACGAAAACAGTCGAAGGGAACAGCATGGAAGGTCAGTTTTGGCTCCAGATTCTGCCAAAGATTATTGATGAAGATCGTTGTTCTACTGACGTCTCCGTTCATACCAGGCAGGCCATTTGTTGTGACCACATATAGCATTTCAGAGATGGAAGAAGAGCCAATTCCGAGGCAGGCGTTAAGATGAACTCGAAAAAATGGTAATTGTACAAGTTAACCGATTTTTACAGACACGAACTACACATCGGTGACTGATCTAAATGCTTGAAATATTGATAAGGATCTGGAGGAGATTGGCGATATCACATCAATGTTTCCATTACGATATCACAATAATCCTTCCATAATCCTGACGGATCTATTTTGATCCGACGGCCTACTGAGGCGTTATATAGGAGCGCTATCTTCATCGTTTGTCTCCGCTGCGTTTCTCTCGGTCACGTATCGTCAATGTGTTTGTTGGCGTCTGCCAGCAACGATCTGAACGTGGAACGAGATCATAACATTCACGTTATGGTAATAAATCTATGGTAATATTCCGATCTTTGGCTGTAGCTTTCTTTTTACGATCCCCCTGTTTTTTACGAGTCAAGAAGGAGGTATGAAATAACGATTTATTTGCATTTGTAGGATACAATTGATTATTTTTCTAGTTTCGTGCCTATAGTTAACATCTATTTTTATAGTTTGTGTTCAAATTTTCTGAAATTAAACAAGGGTTTTCGTAGCTAGAAAAATTCATTTTCACTCGATTTGCAATCAATGTTTGGATAAAAATGTTTATTGAAAGCCAATTCCCCCAATAAATGAACTTTAACCTTTACCCAAACATCCTCTTAGCCTCTCAAAAACGATTCGTGCAGTGTCTCCATATTAGCTTCTATGAATTTAATGTAGTAGCTGCATGAGTTCAAGAAATAAAACTGAAACGACCGTAAAACTTTACTGCAGAGTTTCAGAAGTTATTTCCTTGGGCATAAGTGAATTAAAACTCGTCTCTCGAGCGAGAGTATCACTGCAACGATCGAAGACCCGCTCCTCCAGCTCCTTGAGTGCAGCACCAGGGCCAATAAAGACGATCTTTAATCAGACGCTCCAGGTCTTCCGGCGCACTCGCAGCATCTTTGCCCTCAGGAACTTTTCATATATATAAATATTTTCATTATAAATAATGTATAGAACTTATCCAAGCCAATACCAGCCCATAAAATGAACATTTTCACTCGGTGAATCATCCATCTACATGATAAACCTATGTATTATTGATACAATTCTTTAGAAATTATTACCAAATAGAAGAATTTTGGAACATAAATTAGAAAGTTTTTGGAAGACATTAAATGTGAAATTAGGAAAATAACTGAATAATTTTCTAACGAACCATACACCGTTTACCGAAAGAACGCGTGCAAAGAGCAGATGCAGCTCTGCTGTACCCTTTTGCCTGTCCAAACTGGGTAATGGATGACCCACAAAAAAGCAGCAGTATCATTTTCAAAAATAATGCTCCACTCTTATCTGAGCACAAGAAACTCCTAAAACGTCTCTTTTAAATGGACATAGGAAGAATCCTTCCTCAAAGCTGAAAAACTTCATCTATCACGGTATCAACGCGGCAGTCAAAGTCGACGAAGATATGCCGTCTTAGCGTTGAATAATTTGCGGGAGTTTTAAATAGAGCTACCAATTTAGAAATGTTTACAGGTTTACAGAGACCGAAGTATGTTACCAGCTAATTTTTAATTGATCACTTATTTTTGCTAGTTAAAAGCGACATATAATGAGCGTTTTTTTTCATGCATTTTTAGCGCATTTTCTCATTTATGGAAAAAATGCACTATTGTGCTCGCCATGTCTGTCTGTCTGTCCGTCTGTCCGTCCGTCTGTCCGTCCATCCGTGACCTCAAGTTTTCGTCGACGAGAAAATGCGCTCTCTGTCACTCACTGCAGTGAGTACTGAGTTATATTTTTTTGCTTGCAAGCGGTAAAGTATCTGATTTGTTTTGCCTGCAATTTCAAATTTGATTATATTCGCATTATTTGTCTCCCACATGTCAAAATATTGTACTTTTAAATGTTTCATAACTATTGAATTTATTAAATCATAGATACAGCAGCATAAAAACAACCGCGATAAAATATCTTCATTGTTCCCGCAACAGCTTCTCTGGAGGTGATGTAAAGCAACGGAAAACCGATTTCCTCGGGTCACAGTCCGCACTAAACCTAGAGTGCGGACGTTCGTCGAGAAGCCGAGCTCATCCAAGCGTGAAACACGGAGTCCGTAAAATATTTCCCCCTCTGTCGCAGATTTTTCAGTTCTGCTGCTGCAGAAGTCAGAGAGAAATTCCTTTAGCAACAATTCCAGTCATGGAAACCCAGACCGATGCGCGATGGTTTATTGGTCGCATATAAGGTAGAGTCACAACAGGAAAGTTTTTTGATCCGGCATTTTAGTTTTGGTCCACGTACGGTATGAAAAGCTAACAAACAGTTGTATAGAAGATCACCCTCATATTAAGTCCAAAAAATTAAAATTTTTGGTAGAATAGGTACGTATAATAAAAATAGAAGCATAGTACGCAACGAGATGCAGCAGGATCTGCACCCTTTGAGGAAAGATTAAAGATTAAGAAGCTTCCAAGCCTCAGTTATCGACGTCTGCGTGATGACCTCATTGAAGTGTACAAGTATGCTCATGGTTTATACAAGGTCCCAGAAGGATTACCAGAATTTGAAACAACAACCAACACCAAGGGCCACGGTTACAACTGAAAAAACTGCGTTGTATCACATCTATGCGACAACATTTCTTCTCGCTTCGAGTCACCGACATGTGGAACAGCCTCCCTGATAGCATCGTTGACGCTCCGAGTATGAACGCCTTCAAAAACAGACTAGACGAAGCTATGCAGGAACATATGTTCAGTCTTAAAATGTCTAGCACCTTATACGGACCAGGCAGTAAGTCCAGCAGCTATCTCAATCAATCGTCAGTTACCGAAAGATTGGGTTCCAAAGGCCGGATCCCATGTGAATCAAGACACGAAAAGTATAAGAATTGGCAATAGGCCATGGGCCTATTTCTTGAGTGCCGACCCTTCTATTCTATTCTCATAAGGTGTTAGAGTCCTTGCGAATAAATGAAAAATCCAAGGACGTGAAGACGGTCTTTTGAGTTACTCTGTCATCTAGATTCCTCATTTTTTGTAACTTAAATAATGGAGTACGTATAGCTTCTTTTAGACAAACTTACTATAAATGCGGATAAATTGTTATATTTTGACCAGAACTAGAAAAACAATGAACTACACAATTTTTCCATGTGGTAATGACATATGTAGTACCTATCATTTCCTCTGGACATCAGACACGGTATCATTTTCTCTCTTAACATGTTCCCCTCGTATCCGGATATCACCACTTTTCCCTTTTTACGGAAGGCCTTGAGTGGTTGCTGCTTCAATTTTTTATGAATAGGTTTGTTGATTTGCTTTATTCAATAATCAACCTATCGTGTGAGCACAAATAATCTAAAAGAGGAAGTTTACAAACAAAATTTCTATTTATATGTGTTTTATCGAAAATAAAACATTGCGTTTGGTTCACTAGTGTCCCAATACGCAGCAGTGGAATGACATGTTGGTACACATATGGCCAAATACACAGGGAATGTGTTTATGATGAATGATTATTATGGAGCGATTCGTTACAGATATCTCCGTGTAGGCAGTTTAACACTCGTTAATATAAAAACCTTTATATTTTACAAATGCCATTTTTGACGACAATTTAAAAATTATTTCTTTATCTCGAACACTCCGGTTTCGTTTACCTACTAACCACTAAAATTTTACTAGCCGTATAAACGTAAAGTTAACGACATAGAAGAAAATTTTAAAATTTCAGATTAAAGTTATTATAGAGCAGTCACACTCGCACCTGCATGGGAAGAACTTCTTTTTGTACATAAAAAGTTCTTCTAAATTGTGCCTCATATTAAAGAAATGATTGTAACTGAAAAAGGAGAATGTCGTAAAATATTTCTTGAGTTAGCCCTCACCAGAAAGAGACAGTTGAAGGTGAGCAGCATAGTCTTGCACCACGCCACGCCTCGCGTGGGCTCCGGCTTCTTGCCCGCCATCAGTGGAAGCTCCAGCGCGCTGCGGGGAGCCACCTATGCCAAAGAAAATAAGTGTGATGACTTTAGCATAGTCTTACCTTATAATATTATATTCAGTAGTATAAAGATTTTTAACGCCGTCTCCAGTGCAAGATTTCAACAGGTAAAAATTTTTCAAACGTTCGCACTGGTTGGTTGCTACACAAATGAGTTCAAACACGCCTTAGTAAGCTGTTGTTTTTGTTGATCCTTAGAATTATATATTGATCGTGTCTATTAAAAGGAGTTTGTTGGTTAAATCTGTTCCACTGTGACTTGAAATACAATTAGATTAAGATCATATTTCTTTCGTCCTCAGAGACCTACTGTCAGCGTAACGTAGACAAACACCATAGAGATTGTTTTCCGTCTTTATCTGCAGTCTATAAATTGTCATCGGGATCATGGAATTTGACTCAGTAACCTAGTTTTTGAAACATGTTCCTCAGTCTAGTTCAGAAACCGCGTTCCGTGTCAGGGTTCTGCAATCTTGATCAATCAACCGATTGCTGCACGAGAGGAACGTAAAAATTGAAAGTTTAAACGTCAATCATTTGTTCAATCTTCTGGAATGTTCATCGGATTTATATACTTGTTTGTAAAAGTTTAATACTCACAAATAGACTAAAATGTTTTCAGCCTTCTAGTTTTTATTTATTTGAAAAGGCTAAGTTTTAATCATGCTGTTTGGCGAAGAACACAGATGAATCAGACCCTATAAGTTATAATGTAAATTTTTTTATTTGCATTAAGAGAATTTACCAAATTTGACTTCAGTTAAAAATCTACCGACATTATTCCTATAAAGTTCGTGGAGCCGTGCGCGAATGTTATATTTAACCTTGCTTCTGTCGATAGAAGACTGGAGGACAATAAAAATTAAATATGTAATTTTAAGTGTCTTAAACTGTTATGTATCGGTCGATTACTTGTTCTCAGACAATTCTTAGTTTGCAAACACAACGAAAAAGAGTATAAAGTCTACATCGCCGCGCAGCGCCGTTGGCTCTGGACCAACTTCAGAGGCAGAGTTTCTTCTCTAAGTTCTGATTGCTCTGAGTCCGGGCATGATGGATCGGTTGTATGATAGTGATTGCTGAACCTGAGATGAACCTAAAAATTAAAATAGGTATTGACCAAGCAATCAGGATACATTGGCTGGGAGAACTCTTAGACACAATACAAATTTTAAAATGACTATGACTTTGACGTTGAATTTAAGCTATACGATCGAATTTGCAATCACACTCCATTTGATGGGATCGATTTGATATTAGAAAATTCGTCGTCCTGAGCGCCATACAAAGCAGCTTTGTATTTTATATCCGAATAACGCTATCCTTAAATCAAAAGCTCCCAATTTCTGAAATAATAGACTTCAACTTGACCTGCGACCCTACAACGAACAAGAAATTCACTTCATTTGCTTATACTTATGCAAACGCACTGAAAACTTATCCGACGCATAGTTGATCCGGATTTTAGATCTTTATTTGAATGTTTTGTTTTGAAAAGTACAGAATGATTGTTTGTTATTTTGCAATAAATTAGAGTAATTCTATGTTTTTTTTTTGTGACCGAGCAACGCTTGATCTACACTTGACTGGAGTGGAATGCACCCCAATTCCCCAGGAATGTTATAGTACAGTCGCCACGACGTCCAAAGTTATTTACTGTCTAATTGCAACAAGGCTGCAATGTTCAATGTTCATGATACGATTATTTTCAGTATTTTATTCTGATGTTTCAAAACAGCTCTTGTTCTAATTGCTAAAGTTATACTATGTCACATATGTCTTATGGATTCGGTTTGCATTGCATAATTTGTCTTATTCACTGGGTTCATTGGTTTCGTCGAAATTTTAGCTACATTTCATTTGCGTTTATTATTGATAATTTCCATCTCTGGATCTGAGCTACTTTAAAGCACAGTATTGTTTGGGATAATTTTTTCCTGATTCTTAAAAGTGTATAATTACCACTGGAGGCAGTCTAGTAGGGTAACGTGGGGCAGCGCGCCCCCCACTTTTTTTAAACTAAATTTTTGATGAAGTTTTAATTGATACGAGGTGGTTCTTTGTTTTGTTTAAATGTACAACTAATGAGGAATGTATGATGTGAATTAGACGCCTATAGAGTTAATAACGCAAACACTTAGCAAAACGTAAATCCGTGCACTTCATCCCAGTGAAACTGTCGACCGGCGGTAGAGAACACGGACCAATATCTGCCATACTTAGCGAGAAACCCGCTATGGGCCCGTGACCCGCAGTGGGCTCGCTGCCCCATGTTACCCTATTTGATGGGCCTCAATTCGTGAGTTTACAAATGATTAATTTATTACTTAAACGAATACTTCCTGTGAATATTATAAAAATCCGAGGCGATTTCACCAAGAGGTGGTCTACGGATCACGGTCAGCTAGGGAGCCTTTTTTTCGCTTTTTTTGGCGGTTTTATGGAAATAATAAACTAAATGCTTTATGATACTGATAGAAAAAAGCTAATTGCAGTCTTTAATTGCAGAAAACAATGTCATAAAAAAGAAAACTAAATTAAAACAAATAATTCTATTACGAGTAATGAGCCAAAAAATTTCTCATTTATATTTTTTTCAATATATTTATAATAAAAATGTAAGATAGTACGATGAAAAAATCGATTGTCGGTGACAGATTGAAATGTCACTACTTTAGGCATTAAAAAAATACTTACGTGGAAAATTCAAATTTTGAACCCTAGTATAAAAAGTTTTACTTCAACGAAAGTTTCTGAACATTTATTTCAAAATTCTGCCCGGGTAACAGAATCAAGGTAAATGTACTCACTATATTTCCACAGCCCTCTTTAATCAAGGAATCCGAAGGGAAAGTCATACAAATTCGTTAGCCTTGGAAGACCTCAACGCGGTGTTGGTATTAAGGACCTACATACAGGCAAATTATGTTCAAACAACGTTGATTATAAGTTGATTTCGTTGAAACAACGTTAAATCAACATTATTTCCGCGTCAGATGCAACGAACATAACACGAAATGACATCGACGAAAACGTTAAACATTAAGGAGACATGAAAAGAAATTCTATTTCAAATGTTTGTACATTTTTATTCCGCGATTCGTACAACATGTAATTTAATTTTATATTCATGCTCAGATGACATTCATCAAGAACAATATAGATTTCGGAAACATTCGTCGCAATAAAAAAATTCGCAACAAATGTTATCCATTCGTGTCACATGTGCACAGCTTACAAGCGTCACAGCATCGCCTCTATAATTTCTAAAATATTAAATAGATTGTAGTTATAGTTTTTTCTGAACTTTTTTAGGAATAACAAAAACATTACTGTTTTAGTATTGAATTCAAAATAATTTATTGGCTCCATTAAAATATTAATAAATGATCTTTTATGAAAATGTTCAAGAAAAGCGCAAAAAAATTCACCCATTAATTGTTATGATAATATACCAATAAAAAAACAGAAACCAAAGGATGTGCTCACTTATGCATTAAAAATTTTTCAAATATTTAATTGCTCACAGAATATCAACTGCAAATGCAAGGCAAGGATCTCTGAGAAGCACAAGGGAGAAAGTGAAACAACTAATTTCATTTTCCACGTCAAGTAAGGACTAACGGAGGCTTCATCACAAATTCGTGTGGAGCAAGTGTGCCGAAGAATGGAAATCTCACTAAATAAGTGGGAACTATTTTTGTTCACATTTTTTGCAAAAAATTTGTAACTTGTAATCTTTTGGCTCCATTAGGGACGAATACGGTCTCATGGAAAAAATCAGAAAAACTTAAATTCGATGTCGTCGATTAATTAATTGAGTGAACTTCTCCTCCTTTTTATGTTCATGCAGCTTTAACAGCTTTGCGAATGAAGAATTTCATGAATTATGCAACTAACAAAAAACCGATAGCGAATTGCAAATAAATCTAAAGATGTATAAAAGTCAAGAAGTTTCTTCTTGAACTTCAGAACACAGCAGTAAGTAAAACAACTCGGAGTTTCTTCATGAAATTTAGAACACAGCAGTTGTAAAACAACTCAATTCTTTCGCAGGAAAATCCTCGCAGCCGCCCTAACAATTTTAAAGGTTGAGAAATAATGGTTTTCTCAAGCGAGGCTACGCAGCAACTTGCGTCTTCAAGCGATTCTCTAACCAGCTCAGGAAGACAAAGTTGTTCGCCCGCACGGCTTCTCTAGGCGCCTCACAAGCTTTAAAATCTGGCTGTTGTGAGGCTGCAGCCACTTGACGAGCATTGTTCACTTTAATGTTCAGATTAATTTCTGAAAACGAGTTGTATTGGAAAGTCGTATGTGATTATTGACTTACACAAATTTTTTTATTATTATTTGAATCGTTTGATCATTCATGTAGAAATAATTTTGTACGTAGACTCCACCATCTTCTTGAATCGTTAACGTGAAATTAAAATTTGGAACCGATCAATACCACATTTCGAAAACTTGTCTAGTTTCTGTGATGATTTTTGTTCTCACACTTCACTTCAAGGACTGAAAGTTCTCGGCAGCCATAACCATATAATTATTAGACCCTTAAAGTTTTCTTAGGTCCCTTAAATTAATGATAACGACCTAGAGGGCGAAAGCCTTGAGGCCTATAGAGGTGAGCGGCTGGTGCGGCCTAGGCAGCAAGAGCGGATTACGTCTTCTGAAATGTTTGTCCGAGAAAAGCCTGCTCATTGGTCCTTTGTTTTTCTGAAGTCTCGCGCGCACTGAGGTTTTATTTTCCTCAACCGTGGCCTCGATTTAAATTCTTCCTCCATTCCAGAAAATTGAAACGCTTTTGTTTGGAGATAGGGAATTTAAGTTCTTTATTTGCAAGAAGATTTCAATCTTGATGCAAATAACCTTCATCTGGTAAGATCATCACTCAATAACATCTAGAACAATTAAAGTCGAAAAATTCCAACTATAACTTATTTAAGATTGTGTAGATCAAGTCAACTTGTAGCTTGAACTCCGGTACAAAAGCTTCTG